AATTAGGTTAGTATATAGTAATATTTTAATTGTTATGCAATTGAAAAACTTATTTTTATTTCCCTTAATAAGTTGTTTTATATAATTGCATATAACTATTCAATTTAAATATAAAAATTTTAATTAAAGCTCAATTTTAGTATCTTTTCCCTTTTGAGGAAAAAAAAATCTGGCTTATTTTGTCCAGTATGTGAGTTTCGTATTTCCTAATGGAATAAAATATACATGTTCTATGTCATGTGAGAGAAGGAAGTACTTTTCTGTCTCTTCAACTATACGTATCATATTATGGTAATGGGATAATTTCTTTTTCTAGTGATATTAATATTTATTTAATGTGGTTTTACTTCTTACGGTTTATTAACTATTCTAGTACATGACAGTGTGCTGTGTCTATAAGGAAACGGTATACGGAGTGACTTCAGTGATCTATTCCCTCTGTTTAGCACAGTGGCTTCTGTATGTTTATAGTGATGGCCCCTTAGTTTTAATGAAAACTTAAGCACAACTGAAATGCAGAACAGATGAAAACGCAGCTGCTGTGGCTGAAGCAGAGGTCAGGATACAGAGTGCCTCCTGCTCACGACCCCCATCTCTAGGTAGGGGGACCTCTGAAACACCACCACAGTCTGCCTGTGTACACTTTGAAACCACTTGTTAGCAGAACAGGATAGTTTTATCAGCAAGCTAAAATTCAAGAGTAAGGTTTAACTGTTAAACTTTTTATCAGCTAATCAAATTGACTGATGGTGTCTGGACAGTTTATGTCACCTCAGACACACCCCATACGGAACCCCACGTTTGGTTCAACTCGTGCCACTGGAGAAAGTGATTTTCTTTATTAGGGGGACATTCTGCTGACACTTAATACACTACAGCTTTGATAACTATCTGACTTAAATGTCTGGAATGTAATACTATATGCGAATTTCAATAGGTTCAACAATGGATGGATGATTAAGATTGGAAGGGGACTTGATTATTTTAAGAAACCACAGGTAGGATATAGTCTTATGAGTGAGTGTGTAGCACGCTTTTTATATCATTTTAACAAAATGGCTTTGGTCCTTTTTTATTAAAAAAGCTCTTTCTTCTCTTCTTAGAGTCGTTTTTCCCTTGGATATTGTGATTTTGATTTAAGACCATGTCATGAAACAACAGTGGACATTTTTCATAACAAGCACACAAAGAAAATATGATGGGTAGTAGCCTAATTTCCATTATATATTTCTATTTTAAGTGAACATGAGTTTTTTTTACTTTGGACAGATCATTTCTGTAATGTATGAATTTAACAATAAACTTTTACATTTCTACTAATTTATGGATCCATTGTTCAGTTGTGTGACCAATCCTAAATACTGTTATAAGTACGTTACTCAGTAGATTTACAGTGTTTCAAGTCATACAGTTAATTTAAACGTTTTATTAGCTTTTCTTATTTGGCTGTTGGAGAGTGAATCAGCAAGTAATGAGCACCTATTATGAAGATGAATTGCATATTAATCTTGCCCCTGGGAATTTAGATTTTAGGAGGAAAAGTCATAGATTAGAGTACTCGTAAGAGACAAATGGGCTTGTGGGTCTAATAACCAGAAAAAAGGTAAAATGTTAATTTTGTTACAATTAAGTGTCTTTGGCAGACATTCACCAGCATTCAGTTATCCAATATTACCTAACTCCATAAAGGCTAATCAACCCATTTAGTTATCCAGATGCATTTTGCAGCTCATTCAACCTTGGCTAGCACATTTGTAAAGCTTTTCAGCTTAGAATTGACTGTTCTAGGTAAGCTCATCCACCCAGATGCCAGTTGACTGGTTGGGGGCAAAGACTAGGTTCCATGGAGACGGGCTGGGAGAGGAGATACAGTTAGAGGCAGTGGGCAGTCCAGAAGCTTAAAGAATAAGCTAACCCAAAGTCTACAGAGGGAAACAGCAGTCCTGGTGTTGGAAAGTGCACATATAAATATCACATCTGGAGAAGACTGAAGATTAAATTCAAGATTAAATAGTGTGGAGGACCAAAGCCAGGTGGAAGCCATGGGAATAAGGTTGAGCAGAGTGGTCCTGGGTGGCCTTGGACACCAGGTTTACGTTTTGCCTTTGTGGGCCAGCAGGTACGTGGTTGAGTTGGCATAAAACACCAAGAAGGGCGTCCAGAAAAGTTCTTGATGTTTTTCTTTGATGTTTTCAGGTTCAGGTGCTGATAATGCTGAACCTGAAAATAGTCAAACCAGTTTGCCAAGCTTTATTATATGGAAATTCAGGGTCTCAGGAAAACACCTGGACAAGTGTTAGACCTGATCAAAAGTTACTTTCTGCAAAGTATCCTAGCTCATTTTGCCAGGTACCCATTGTCATGTGGAAGTAGAGTGGTTTTTCATTCAGGTGAGAACATGTTAGACCTCCTTACACAACTCTGATTTCTAGAGCATATGGATCTATCGCTATAGAGAATCAGCAATCCACAACCCTGTAAAATTAACTTTTATCCAACTCGCACAGAAATCTTGCCTAAGAGATAATGATATTTAAGGAAGAGAACCTACAGACATGCTATCTATTATTCCACATATTTGAAGTTTGGTCCCCAGACCCTATTAGAACACCAGAAGCAAGTTTACCTATTAAATATATCAAGAAATGTACAAGAACTATATGAAAAAACTATAAACTTTATGGAAGGATGTAAAAGAAAACTAGAGTAACTGGAAAGACAAATTATATTCCTGAATGGGAAGGCTTTGTAAGACGTCAGTTCTCCCTAATTTATAAATTAAATGACAAAAGAGACCAACACTAGGAGACTTACTTGAGCAGCTATAAAGACATAAAGCTACAATAATTTTTTTAAATGTATGGTTATAAGAATGGACAAATAAATCAGTGGGATAGAATAAGGAGTCTGGAAACAAATCTAAGAGAGAGAAAGTGAATGTGTGTATGGGTATTTAATATACAATAAAGGAGTCTTTCAAATTAATGGGGAAAGCGTAGACTATTCAATAAATGTTTGGAAAAAATAACATTAGATCTCCGCCTTACTTCACATTGAGAAATTATTCTAAATGGATTAAAGAGTAAATTAAATGAAAAATCCAAATATTTCTTTAAAACCCCACTCAATGTACTAAGCATACCACAAAACCTAGGAATTATCAAGGAAAACAAAGAGCAAAAGATTTGATCATGCAGATATTAAAACTTGAGTAAAGGGAACCATAAGAAAGTTAAAAACATGAGATCAGATTTACTATATATATAGAAAAAGGGTTGATAATCCTAATATATGAGGAAGAGAGCCAGATTTTCAGCAAGTGAACTTGATCGCACCTCCTTTAGCCTTTGAGCAATCTCTCCCTCTCGACTGCACTGTTCCTGCCAGTATCCATCCCCATCCAGATACCACCCTCTATTTTTTAAATTTTTTTTTATTTTTTGTGAGGAAGATCAGCCCTGAGCTAACATCCACGCCAATCCTCCTCTTTTTGCTGAGGAAGACCGGCTCTGAGCTAACATCTATTGCCAATCCTCCTCTTTTTTTTTTTCCCCAAAGCCCCAGTAGATAGTTGTACATCATAGTTGCATATCCTTCTAGTTGCTGTATGTGGGATGCTGCCTCAGCATGGCCAGAGAAGCGGTGCATCGGTGCGCACCCAGGATCCGAACCTAGGCCGCCAGTAGTGAAGCGTGCGCACTTAACTGCTAAGCCACAGGGCCGGACCCTACTCTAGTTTTTAAAAAGTTTGAAACTACACTACACTACACTAAACTGTCAATTCCTGAGGCCAGTGACCATGTCTCTCTCACTCACCATCAACATCCAACAACTAGCAAAGTAGCTGGCACATAGTAGGCACTCAGTGAACAGGCAGTAAATACTGTAGAAACACGAGAAGGACTGTGAATGAACTGTGGAGACAGGAAACAGTTGGCAGTGATGTTACTCTGTGAAGAAGTCTGGCAATGAAGAGATGGAGAGAAACAGAATAAAACCTTGAGCAGGAAAGTTTCTGGGAAAGGGGAGACATAAGCATGTTCATTCACTATGGGTAAGAATCCAGTAAAAGTTGGGAGGAAAAAAATGCAAGATAAAGAAGATAAATATTTGTTAGTACAAGGGCCAAACAGGCTGGAGAGGACAAAATCCAGGGTACAGTTAGAAGGGTTAGCTTTAAGGAAAAAGAGGTATTTCCTTCTCCAAGATTGGATAAAATGAGAAATGTTGAAGTAGAGAACATGGGGGACTGAAGGAGCTCATTTCTGAAGTCCTCCACTCAAATTATCATTCAAGGCTTGTGACAAGAGTAGTGGAATTCTCAGCTTAAGAAGAATGGAAACATTTAGGAATAAGCCCTCTGAAAAATGAGAGGGAGTCAATAGAGACAAGTTGAATCTGACACCAACAAATTGTGGATTTGAAAATTGTAAATATGACATTGGGTTAATCTGTATGATTATGTGAATTTTCTTCCAGTGTTGCCTGCCATCTAGGTATAGAAGTAAAAAAATCAATTGTTGGAATACAAAAAAAAAAAAGATGGCTATGGTAGGTCAAGAGAGAAGCAAATGAGAATGCTGGTAAGGAGCGTAGACGAAATAATTCAGGCTAGGGTCGGAAGGGAGAGGAAGGAAGAGTTAAAGGCTCAGAAAAGTGCAAGGGGCTTGATTTAGTGGGAGAGAATGGAAGGATAATAAATACAACCAAAAGGGAGAATTTTAGAGGTTAAGGTATCAGAGATGGCAAGAAGCCTGGGTTATATTCGCTTGAGGTAAGAAAAAGAACACACTGAGGTCAGAGTGTCTAATATGGTAGACATCCCCAAGATGGTAACAGAGGAAGCAGCTGAAATGTAAATGTGTGCCTGGTATTAAAATCAATGAAGAAAGAGACCGAGTATCCTAGAGGTCAGTAGAAAATATGGACAAGGATAGGTGAGAGACAATTTCTAATGGGGAGAAGTTACTGAAAGAGACTAGGCCTGTTTTATTTTAAGAGACATACAATGTACACTAAAATTTTTATTTTCTCATTGAAACTGTCCATATTTAGAAATTTACTTGGAATCACATTATTCCCTTAATTTTTTCACAGAGAATATTCCATTTACTGTGTAATTCATCATCTTCTGGGGATGTTCTACGTAATATATTTATTAGCATAGTAGTTTCAATTGGGCAAAACTTACTACCAATAAAACTTGAATTTAATTTGTCACATATTTCCAGTGGCAACCAATGATCGGGTGCTTTAATATTACAGATTTCAATTCTTCCATTCTTTATGTCTATGAATACTCTAATTTCCAAGTGTGACTGTCCATGTAACACATTAAAAGAAGTGTCTATACTAAACTTTGGAGTTTTGCCATATATCCACTCCCAGGTTTGTAGTTCTTTGGCTTTGCTATTTATTCCAGGAAACAGTGTCTCATCTGTTGGGTTTATTAGGTTAATGTGATTATCAATTTGATGATAAGCAGCATACTCTGCAGCAATTGCATTCATCAGTACTTCACAGGTCAGAGTGGGATCTTTTTCCAAAAGATTTTTTACTAAGGCAGGTATGCTAGCAGTGGCATTGCTCCTGATCCCTTGGTAAGGGCTCTTCAGCATAGACGACAAGAAAGTCCCATCGGTACTACATAATAAAGTGCAATGGTGATAAGCAGTAGTCCGGCCAATCTTAGAAGCTGTTCCTGAGATTTTAAACTGTCCATCAAGTAAAAGGTCAAATCTTTTGGTCGCCTGCACATCCAGCTGAGGTTGGACAGCATTCAGAGCTCTCACAACTAATTTTAGATTTTCCATCCTATCATACTTTTTTTTGGTTGTAAAAAAAGTCAAATTGATATTACCCATATCATGGTAGACTGTTCCTCCTCCACTTCTTCTCCGAGCCAGTTTTATACCTTCTTCTCTCATCAGATTCAGGTTACATTCCCGCCAAGGATTCTGATGCCTACCAATTACAACAGAGGGAGAATTTCTCCACAAGAAAAGAACCGGCTTGCCTTCTAGATTCATGTGGTCATGGATCCAGTCTTCTACAGCCAGATTTTGGTAAACATCATTGGAAATCGACTGTAAAATGAGCCCACTTTTTACTGTGTTTTTAAAGCCAGCTGCTGGGACCTTGAGGTTATAAAGTAGCTGGAAGCAATTCTTCGTTGAAAATGGGATCAGCATGCTTTTAAAAATGGAAGACAAAGAAACTGATTGAGAAAAGGAATCAAATTCTATTTTCTAGCAATCAATTCTTGGTTATTTACTCCAAACTCATCTAATTCTCTAAATATCCAGTCCAGTTGCTTTTCTTGCCTTTTAGCTTTTTCATTAGTCTTCAGCAATTCTAAAACAGCATACTCAAAGGAAATAAATGAAGATAAATCTCAAATAATTTCAGCTGAAATAAGGGCACAGATTTTACAAGCAATAAATCTGCAAATACATTATGTAATATATCTCAAAGCCAAACAAATTATTTTGAATTCACAGGTAATACATGTTCTCTGAGAAAAATGAGAAAATACAGATAAGCAAAAAGAGCAAAATAAAAAAATCCATACCACCACCAACAGGGAGATAATCATAATTAATATTTTGGTGTATACCTATTTTTTTCTATGCATGTGTAAACACACACACTCTCCCTCGCAAAAGTGGAACCATACTGTTATTTCATTCAATGTTAAATCTATTTTTACATCAGCTTTAATGATGTGTAATATTCCATTGTCAGATATATCACAGTTTATTCAATCAGTCTCTTAGTTTTTAATTTTAGGTTGTTTCTAGTTTTTCTGTGTTATCAACAATGTATTCATGAACATCTCTGTGGAAAACTTTAATTATAATACTTTTAAATAATTCCTATTTTACTTTGAGATATATTTTAATATATGATACTTTAATTATAAGACTTTAAAAATAATTACTATTTGAGATATATGATTTACTGGCAGCATAACTGTTTTATTAGATCAATAGTAAATGAGGATGGACCCCCTGAGGTTGGGGGGAGGCAATCAGTACCACGGTTATATGGAAAGGCTATCAATAATTTTCTGACATTTGGACACTTTAAACATTATTTTTGTTAGCAGTACTGGTGAAATGTTAGGTGCCAAAAGGTTGAAAATACTAGCTATAATAAGAAAGTATTTTGATTAGTTACGGTTGTAAAGAAACCATTCTATTCCAATTCTATTTTTCAGGATGGTCATAATTTTTCTTTAGGTTAAAGAACTGGGTAGAATGGGTTATTCAAGTTCATAACTAAGCCAAATTCTTTAGTTATGTCCTAGAAGCACAATTCCTAGGTTAGAGTTTTCATATTTTCATTACTCTTGATATATTTTGTAAATGATGCTACAGAAAAGTTGAACCAATTTACACTCCCTCTGTCTAGAAAAGTCAGGAGAGGTTTAATAGAGGAAGGGATACTTGAACTGAATCTCCAAATCTCATGGTGCTTACCAAGTCACTGGGAGTAGCATTTTCCAGGCATACGCAAAGACAAAGAGTCATCTAATAGTCAGGCATGTTTTGGGGAGGGAGAAGTCTAGGGCCACACTGTCCTAGGAAGCCTCTGCAACCAGGCTGCACTTTGGTTAAACTCTTTGTTCTTGGTTCTGTTTGACTGACTTTGATATAGTTCCTCATTCATTCAACAAATATTTATGGAGTGCCCACTAGGCACATGGTAGTAAGGGAATAGAGAAGGGGAGGAGACAAATTCATGTAATTCTAAAACATTTGGACTTTTCTAAAAGCAGCTGGGATCTATTGAAGTGTTTTTAGCAGGCAAATTGGCCATTATACAAAACCACCTCTGCCAGCAGTGCTGAGCATGGATTAAAGAAAGGACAGATGGGCAGGGAGACCAGTTAATAGACTTATGCAGTTGTCTAAGCTAGAGATAATGAGGGTCTGAACTAGGGTAATAGACATAAAGAAGGGGATGGATATGAGAGACATAAGGGTCGTAGACTGGTCCTTGCCTTCAAGGAACTCACCATCTAGTGGGAGATACTAAAAAGCAAGTAAGGCGATAATTGAAATACAGTGTCATAAGTGCTGTGATAGGGTAAGTATGTTAGAAGGCCATCTAACCCTCTAATTAGTGGAAGTGACATTGAAGCTGAGACATAAAAGGGGTAAGAAAAAGTATTCTGACAAAGTGCAACAGCTTGGAGGAAAAGGAGACCCATTCAAAGAATTCAAAGAATTTAATTCCATTGGCCAGTACTTAAGACGTACAAGATGGCTAGTACTTAAGAGTACTAAGATGGGGAGCTGCAAGAGATAGGAGGCAGAAGTAGAGGTCATACTATGAAGAGGCTTAAAATCCAAGTTAAATGCTTAAACTTTACCTGAGGGCTATGGAGGAAGGGCTGAAGTTTTAAGGAAGAGGGAAGAACCGATTTATACTTTCGGGACATCACCTAGAGATTTAAGCATGGAGAATCTACAAAATCTACAATCTTAGTAATTGGTTGAATAAGGGTGAGAGAGAGAAGTCAGGAGTCATGTCCTTTATGGTATAATAATTACAAACTATAGCCAGAAAGCCAGCATTAAAATCCCACCTCTTTTACCAGCTGAGTTACCTGAGGCAGATTAGTTGACTTTTTTGTGTCTCAGCTATCTTATCTGTAATATTTGGGTAATGACAGGACTCATATTAGGATTAAATCAGCTAATACTTGTAAGGTGCTTATAAGAGTGCCTGGCACATGTAAAGCACACAATATGTTAGCTCTTTTATTAGTGTTATGCCCTGATTTCTGGCCTGCCAAATGGGTAGAAAGAGGTGACATTTCCGAGGACAGATTTCTTAGGAAGAGGAGGTATGGGGTGAAGATAATTGGTTCACTTTGACTGTGTTGAACTTGAAAGTCTATGGTTATCCAGCAGCCAATGGCACAGACTTGAATAGATGGTAACTGAGGCCATGAGAGGGGACTAGATTGTCCAGAGAGGGTTCAGTGAGAAGACATGAGCCTTAGAACCCCAAAGAGCAGCACCATTTAAGGGATACGCAGATGAAGAAGGGAGAGCTCCCAGAGGAAACTGGGAATAGAAGGAAGAAATTTTAAAATATGGTATTATAGTAGCTTCAAGGAGACAAGATGGTTAATAATGCCAAATGCTGAAGACAGATCCAATAAGATGAGGGTTGAAAAGGATCTATTAGAGTTAACAGCATCAAGATTAGTGATCTTGGCAAGAACTAGATGTGGAAAATAAAGTGGAGACAATGAGTATATTCTAGTTGTAAAGTGGAAAAGCTAGGGGCAGTAGCAGTTAGAAGGAAATGTGGGGTTAGGAGAGGATTTAAAATGCAAAAGAACTGAGCATGTTTAGATACTGATAAGAGTCAGGAGAGGAAGAGAGGGCAACACTGGTGAAGGGAGGTCCCTGACAACCTGGTGGTGCTAGGATCCAGAGTTCAGGTAGGGAGGGAGGCAGCCTCGAAAGAAGACAGGCTCCTCTTCCATTGTGATCCAAGGGAGAAACAGTAACCAAAAAGGTGTCGTGGACGCTAATATGCCAAACGGTATCTGTGGATCTGGAAATTCTCCAAGACCTTGTGACACATCCTTTCCTAAGGTTAAGGCTCTGACTGTTGTCTGCATATGCAGAGTGTGGCAGGATACAAAGAGGTTAAGAGTTTGAGATTTTTTTTTCCAGTCTTATTGAGATATAATTGACATATAATGTTGTATTAGTTTAAGGTGTACGACATAATGATCTGATATATGTATATATTGCAAAATGATTATTACAATAAGTTAACGTCCATCACCTCACATAGTTACAATTTTTTTTCTTGTGATGAGAACTTTTAAGATCTACTCTCAGCAACTTTCAAACATACAATATTGTTAACTATAGTCACTTACACAGTAAGTTTTAATCTTGGCTCTGCCACTTACTAACTGAATAGCCTTAGGCAAGTAGTTTAACCTCTAGCTGTTTCAATTGCCTCATTTATAAAATGTTCCTACCTCACAGAATGGTTGAGAGAATTAAATGGGTTAACATGCATAAAGCATTCACGCCTGGCAAATATGAAATGTTAACAGAGTTAACATTAACAAATGTTTACCTCTAGAATGTTAACAGTTCCTACATTCCCATCTCTATTCTTCTCATACCCTTCCCATCATATGACATGTATTCCCTCCAGGAGCCTAATAGGAAAGTGGACAAAGATTTCTAACCAAGACACATTAAAGTGGCATTTACCTTGATAAATTAACAATAGTGCAAGATACCGACTTTGGTCAAAAAGACGATCTTGTTAGGATTCCTGAATTGATCCAATTCATGTATTAACAGTGCTCAAAATATCTCTATTCATACAGGTACTGTGTATACAGTGTGAATGAAACACAACAAAGGTGTTAATTCTACAAATCTTACATCCACTATATGACAGGCGTTGTTCTTGGCACCTGGGGTTCATCAGCAAACCAAATACATAAAGGTGACAAGGGCTATAGGGAAAAAGAACAAGTAGAGATGGGAAAGGGAGGATTGGAAACGTGTTATGTGAGAGGAACTAGGCTGCAATTTTAAATAGGGTCATCAGGCTAGGCATCATTAAAAGGTGACATCTGAGCAAAGACTGAGAGCTGAGGGAATTAGGGTGAATGCCTACTATGTGCCAGAAACAGTTCTAGGCACCTGAACCCATAAACAAACAGGCCCCTGTGAGGATGTAGCATTTCAACTGAGCCCTGAAAGATGAGACAGAATCCCACAGAGTGAGAAAAAGTGGAAACAAAGAGATGTCTGCAGAAACCTGGATGCCAGTTTATTAATTTACAAAGAGAACTATAGGCTATCAACTGGATGTTCCGATCAACCTGTCCAACTCCTCTGCAGGACTACTGATAAGACAACTTACAAATTTGCTTGGTGAATACAGAATACGAACAAAGGGACTGAGTTATCTCAATGTCCGATAGGATGAGTCCTGAGGCTCAACTCTCAGACTCTGGAGAGGTCCTACTACTAAACCAGGAAACCCTCTCTCCCCTACAGGAGGCCTGGGTTCATCTGGGGCAGGCGCGCCGCTCTGATTGCACGCTTCACCAACAGACCAGACCTCCAGCTGAACGATATACAGTCTGTTAGTTGTCGGAATATAGTCAAAGTCTTTAAGGCCTGGCAAAATTCTGTTTCTTTAAACTAACTTTGCACATCTCTACTGTCACCTTTTAATTGCTAATTTTATAGTTTTTCCGCAGAGGACAATCTTATTTCCATGTTCTAGGAGGACATTTTGCTATCACCACTTGGCATTGCCAAACATGCTTCTCCATCACCGAACAGAAAGCAAAAAAATAACACAATCCCATCGATCCTAGGCAGGCCCGGCTCCTTCCTAAAACCTCACCAAGACTCTTATTTCGCACCTCTTGGACAGCACGGAACTTATCCAGAGTCTCACGACGGTCGTGTGCATGTTTTATGTCGCCTTCTTGGCTCTCCGTGGGCGTGCGCACAGCTGGCCCCCAGCGCGTTTCAGTTTTGTGCCCCCCTGTGTTGGGGATAAACCGTTCCTCAGCGTGGAGCCAGGCCCTCCCGAGAGCTGACCGGACACCGCAGCGCCGTGCGCACGCCGGGCCCGGCCTCTGCGTCCCAGTCCCCGCCCGCTGCCCGCGTCGGGGGCGCACGCCGCGCCCGAAGGACCGTGCGCGCGGCCCGGCACCCACGCCGCCCGTCCCGGCCCGCAGAGCCCCGGAGCTCCGCTTCCGACCTCACTCACCTGCCGCTTCCGGCCGCGCGCGGGCTGCCCCGGAGGAACGACACCTGCGCCCCCGACCCGCAGGCTGCGCACGCGCCCAGCCCCGCCCCGCCCGCCGCCAACCCCGCCCCGGGAGGCGGGCGCACCGGAAGCGCCGGGAGGAGGCGGGGCCGCGCGTCGTCCGTGCTCGACTAATAGTACCCGAAGTCATAGAGCCCCCGGTTCAGACGGAAGGTTCCCGCGTGACAGCACGGAGCTAACGGTCACCGGGGCGAGGTAGGAGAGGCGGCTGCGTCAGCTTGGGGGGGGGCGCTGCGTGGAGCGAGCCTGGGGGCAGTCCGCCGGAAAGCCAACCGGTCAGGTCACACGCCAGGCCGGAGTACCAACAAGTACTCTTTGCTGAACCTCCAGGCGTTGCTCCGGGTCAGTACATGTCTCCCTCTCATAGTCCCAAGGGCAGGTTACTCCACTTGGAAGGCGAGGAAACGAAAATCAATTTTAGAAGACAAATTGCATTTAAAGGAATAAACGCTGGTGTTCCCAATACAGAGATGGTAACAGGCAGGAAGCTGTGGGTCAGCAAAAACACTGAGTCTCATGAACCGTACCAGTTGGGGTATCCCTCATTGAGCTGGCAAGAAAATCCTTGTGGCTCAGCCCAATGGCAAATTCCCCCAGCAAGCCAAAGTTCCGGTTAACCATTGCAGCATAACAAACGGCCTTAAACATCAGTGGCTGAAAACAATGATTTATTACTTTTAACATTGAAGTGGGTGAGTTGGGTGATTTCTCTGTTAGTTTCACCTGGGTTTACTCATGGGGCTTCATTCAGCAAGGGTTGGCTGAGCTGGGAGGTCCAGGATGGCCTTATTCACACGCAGCAATTGGTGCTGGCTGCTGGGGCGCCTGGGTTCAGGCCCAGCCTTGGAAGTAGCAGGTCAGCCACATTCTTTTGGCCAAAGCAACAGCAAAACCAGCCCAGGGTTAAGGGGTGGAGTAACGGACCCCACCTCTCCAAGTGAGGAGCCCGGAGAATTTGTGGTCATCTTTTTCAATCTTCCACAAAAATCGATCTCTCCTTCTGTTAGAATAGAAACCACCAAGACTGGCATCGTGGAGTAAGAAGCATCCAGTGTTCACAATTTGGTGATGCTGATAACGTAAATGATGAAGGCTCCACATAAGGCTACAATAAAGACATAGCTTGGGGCCAGCCCGGTGGTGCAGCGGTTAAGTTCCCGTGCTAATGTTTCGGCACCCAGGGGTTTGCTGCTTTGGATCCTGGGCGCGGACCTACTCAGCGCTCATCAAGCCATGCTGAGGCGGTGTCCCACATAGAGCAACTAGAAGGATGTACAACTGTGACATACTGCTATCTACTGGGGCTTTGGGGAGGAAAAAAGGAAAAAAAGGAGGAAGATTGACAATAGATGTTAGCTCAGGGCCAATCTTTCTCAAAAAAAAAAAAAAGACATGATGGCTCCTCATTTATTGTTATCCTTTTGATTGAAGTCACTCTGAGTTAGTCTGTCTTGTACTATGCAGATGGGAATGGATTCTTTTCATAGTCCCAGTAGGAATATTCCTAGTGGTCATTAAAGACAATAATGCACAGCTGCACAATAATGTTGCCCTCTGCTTATATTACATCTTTCTAAATTCCATTTCTCAGCAATCTGAGATGGTAGTTTTTCCCCTCAATTTCCTACTGTGGTGGTTTTTGAGAATCCCATTCCCTCTTCCCTGCTCAGAGACATGTGTCCTTTGGTTATTCTTACTCCTCTCCTACTATTCTTCAGTTTCTCCACTGGAAACTTCTTCCACTGACACTCAAACATGAACTCCATCCCATCTTAACAATCCTCCAGTGACCTCACCTCTCTTTCCACCCTTCATCCTGTCTAACCCCCTTCAGAGCTGAGCTTTTGCAAGGAGTTGCTCCACATCCAATATCCACTTTCTCACTGCCCATTCATTTTTGAACCTACTCCAAAGTGGCTTCTGTCCCCGTTATTCCATCAAAAGTGCTTTTTGGGGAGGTGGGCGAAATGAGTGAAGGTGGTCAAAAGGTAAAAACTTCTAGTTATAAGAAAAATACAAGTCCTGGGATGTACTCTACAACATGACTATAATTAACAATACTGTATTGTATATTTGAAAGTTGCTAAGAGCGCGGATCTTAAAAGTTCTCATCACAAGAAAAAAAATTTGTAACTATGTGTGGTGATGGATGTTAACTTATTGTGGTAATCATTTTGCAATATATACATATATAAAACCATTATGTTGTCCACCTAAAACTAATACAATGTCATATGTCAATTATCTCTCAACTAAAAAGTAAAAATAAATAAAATTCTTTTGATCATTAAAAAATATTCAGGAGTGATGGAGAATTATGTCAGCTACTTACTCTCAAATGGCTGGGGAAGAGGGAAAGGTCTTTGTACTACACTTGCAACTTTTCTGTAAATTTGAGATTGTTTCAAAATAAAAGGAAAATAATATATGTTAGGTGTCTAGCATTGTAATAAGGACTGTTAGTGCCCCAGCCAGGTCCCCTCTACTCTTAATCCATGCATCTGTTTCCCAGCTGCTGTGAGTGTAGGAGCTGTCGTGCCCAGAGACACCTGAGCGATTCATACTACCTCCCTGCGCCCCCAGCCTCCCACTTTGGCTTGGTGGTGGCAATCAATGCCTGACTGGTCAGGGGGTACAATAATCCCACCCTTTGCCTCAAAGTAGGACAGTGGCTCAACTTTGCAGTGTGATCCCTCCAGGGCACCCTGCGGATCAGGCCAAGAATTTATCTGAGCCCTCATCCTTAGTTGACTCCTTCTGCTTCCCTATCTTGCTTCCCTCACTCCCTTACAGGCTTTTCCTAAAGAGCACACTCTCAAAAATCATGTGCACCTGAATCCTTGTCTCAGGCAGCTTCCAGGGAATCTCAACTAAGAGAGACACACACCAGCTCAATAAATGATAGCTACTATTATTAGCATCAACGACAACACTATTAGATGCAATACCAATGTATGTATTATAGGACTAAATACCCTTATTTTATGGATATGTTGAATTTAAAGTCTCTTAGCATCCTTACTTCTGCTGAACTACATTATTTTTATACGGGAAATTTACTTTCTTATCAGAAACAACACAAGTCTGAGAATTGCTCACTTGAGGATTACACTTGTAGAATTCTCCCGAAAAAACAAACAAACACCTAAGTGAAGCTGTTGCCCTGATTAAACTTATTCCATTCCACCCCTTCCAGAAAGTCTTTGTGGATCCAACTATTGCTTGGAATGGGTTTGGGGATTCTGATTTTCTGATGTCTTAGCAGCAATTGTTCTGAATGAGGGCAATTAATGTTTGCATTTTTTAATGTCTTAATGACTGGGGTGTGCTACTACATTTGACATCCTGCAATGCATGGGGCATCAGACACAATGAAGGATCATCCCAAATTCAGCATCCTACACAACTATCAAATGTTCTATTGGACATTCAAGGAGGTAAAAAACCAGTCTGTAGGGCCGGCCCCGTGGCTTAGCGGTTAAGTGCGTGCGCTCCGCCACTGGCGGCCCGGGTTCGGATCCCGGGCAAGCACCGACGCACCGCTTCTCCGGCCATGCTGAGGCCACGTCCCACATACAGCAACTAGAAGGATGTGCAGCTATGACATACAACTATCTACTGGGGCTTTGGGGGGAAAAATAAATACATAAAATCTTTAAAAAAAAACCAGTCTGTAAATATCTGAGCCAATCCTCTATTAAAAAGAAAGTGAGGGGCCGGCCCCGTGGCTTGGAGGTTAAGTGCGCGCGCTCCGCTGCTGGCGGCCCGGGTTCGGATCCCGGGCGCGCACCGATGCACCGCTTCTCCGGCCATGCTGTGGCCGCGTCCCACATACAGCAACTAGAAGGATGTGCAGCTGTGACATACAACTATCTACTGGGGCTTTGGGGGGAAAAAATAAATAAAATAAAATCTTAAAAAAAAAAAAAAAAAGAAAGTGGTTTTGCTGAGGTCACTGGTGGCATTCATGTTGTTAGATCCAGTGGACCTTTCCATTGGATCTCATCTAAACTTTCAGTCGACTTCCTCCTCCTTAAAGACTCCTGTGGGCAATCTTGACATTACCCTGTCTTGGTTTTCCACCAGCCTCACTGCCAACTCCTCAGTCCCCTTTGCCAGCTCCCCCAGTGCTGACCAGCTCCTAAATGTTGGAGTTCCTCAGGACTTTATCTCACACTATACATCTGCCTTAAGCAATCTCATTCATTTCCATGGTTTTAAATACCATTTCTGTAGACAACTTCAAAATTTATATATTTAGTTCCATACATCCAGCTGTCTACAACTTGCCTTGGAAACCCGGTATGTCCAAAAACTGTGCTCCTGAGCTCATTCTTTTTCCCAGGGAACCTCCCTGCATCTAGCCTTTTTTAGAAACCCTTTCTTTTTCCTCACTTCCTGTTTTCAAACCATCACTATGTCCTGCCAAACTTCATCTGGACTCTATCCCCTTTTCAACACCCCGACCATCACCATCATCTCACCTGGACAACTGTGTCACTGCAAAAGCTATAAATGTCATGTCCTCAGAGAAGCCTTCCTAGTTCCCACAATTAAAAATCAAGTTTATGTGTTATGTCTCCTCTTCTGTCTCTCTGAACATTTTACATTTTCTTCATGGCATATCACAATTTGTATCTTATATAATTACTGTCTGATGTTCTATCTTCCCTGGTAGACAGACAGTAAGCACTAGGAAGAGTGTGGCTATTTTATTCACCACTATATCCCCAGTACCAAGCATGGTGCCAAGCTAGGTGAACAAATGAATGATCTGTGTATTTTTTCTCTCCCAAAGAAAATTATGTTCTGTAAATAATAAAAAGCATTGTCTTATTGGCTTATGTTCCATTCAACAATTTTTTTTTTTTACTCTAGGCTCAATATTCCCTACAAATATATTACATTTGTTTGGATTTTTTTTGATTTATAAAATATTGCTTCCCGTAAAAGAAGATGCCTTTTCTTCTTTGTTTTTATGAATATTGAGGAGATTACTCAATTGGGCATTAGAGAGAGTCATTAAATATTAAAGCACAGGAAAATGTTCAAAACATACATAATATAAATAGTTACAGATCACTATAAGTCCAGACACAAAATGGTTTTAATTTCATCTAATATTACTTGGGACAATACTGCTATTTCAAACTACTAGATATTTCAATAAGAATGACAAACTGATATACCTATATAAAACAAGAATTTTTTAACACTAGACTGTTTTCTTATATTAAATAATGGTGGTATAAAAGGGTAGCATCTGCAAGAAAAATTATTACACTTGGAAATAACTATTTTGTAACTTTGAAATGAATTCAACGTGGGGGGAAAAAAGCAGTTTTAAAAGGATAATTTAAAATGTGAAACGTGAAATGCTTCCCAAGCTACACAATTGACTGGTCTTTTGCAGAGTTTATCTGCAGTGATCTTTTACAGAACAGAAGTGCAAAAAATGCAGGAAGATAAAGTACCCTGAAGCAAAATCCCAAACTGGAAATCTAACATACAAAATTGGTACACCAGAAATAGTGTGAAATACCGATGTCAAATTGTCTGGGCCCTGTTTTTTGTTTTTTGATCACTTGTTAAAGAAATACATTATAATTAACATGTTTTGGTGCCATTTAAATACTGTTGCTCAAAAACTCTGATTTTTGACAAAGATAGAATGTAATACCAGAGAAATCTGCTTTGAATTTTGGAAAGCTTTTTCTCCCTAAAGCAACTTTTTTGAATATGTATCATTAAAAAAAAATGCAGTCTAAGGTGATTCATAAATACTGAAAAATAAGCAGTTGTCTTCTTTCATTTTGTTAGGTTTTCCTAATAAGGTTAAGTTCTCATTCAACTGCCCTTTTAGTCAAAAGCAATTTTTGGTTTCTTTGGTAATATGTACAAATAACTTCATTCCACATCTGTCATTTCTATCCCATCACTTTCTTTAACATATACCACTGAACCCAAGGCTTTCTCTGAAAGAGATCCTGTGCCAGTCTCTTTACTTCTTGTAAAGTTTTCTTGGTTTGTGTCTTCTAATCTTATTTTCTTGGTGTTTTGAAATAACTGAGTCACTGGTTCCAGCTTGCTTTTCTCAGCCCCTTGCATTAAGTGATCATCCACTTTCGAATCCATACGCATAGCAGACACCTGAGTAGCAGATTTACTAAGAGAAAATCCCATTGGGACAGCTGAATAAATACAGTTTACAGGTACCTCTTTAAGTAGTGGAAACGTTTCTTCAACTTGATTGCTTGGGGAAAAAAAATGGTAACAAGTGAACACAGTGGGAATTTCAACTTACTTATGACAATGTTTGTTTTAATGAGATGTCATGGTGATGATGCCAAAAATGTAAAGTAAAATCGCCTTCCACCTCTTAGTGTTTATATTTTCTTTGTGGGAGAGTTTGCAGATTCTATAGATTCTCTAAAAGTCTTTTTTAAAAGGAATTTACCAGATTTTATGTTTCATCACTTTTCAGAAAATAATACAACTTTTCTATTCAGTCCTTTCTATCATTCTTGCTATTAAAAACTTTTAATTCATTATTAATAGATGAAAGGAATAATTACTGAAGGCCACTCTGCTAGGTGTGTTTCTGCAAAAAATGAAGATGCTCCCGAAAATGTAAACATTTACCACCTAATAACACACCATCAAAATATATGAAGCAAAAAACTGGCAGAATTGAAGGGAGAAATAACAGTTGTACTACAATAATAGTTGGAGACTTCAAAACTCAACTCTCAATAATGGCTAGAACAACCAGACAGAAGATAAGTAAAGAAATAGAGGACTTTAACAACAAATTAAACCAACTAGATCTAACAGACATATACAGAACACTCTACCCAACAACAGCATACATATTCTTCTCAAGTGCACATGGAACATTTTCCAGGATAGACCATATGTTAGGCTACAAATTAAGTCTCAATAGATTTGAAAAGATAGATTTCATACAAAATATCTTCTCTGACCACAGTGGGATGAAGGTAGAAATCAATAACAGAAATAAAAAAAATCTTCTCTGACCACAGTGGGATAAAGTTAGAATTCAATAATAGAAAACAGGAAAATTCACAAATTTGTGGAAATTAACACACACTTAAATAACCAAGGGATCAAAGAAATCACAAGGGAAATCAGAAAATACTTAAGAGATGCATGCAAACAAAAACACAACATACCAAAATTTATGGAATGCAGCAGAATCAGTGCTAAGAGGGAAATTCATAGCTATAAACACTTACATTAGAAAAATAAGAAAGAGGGCCCGGCCCCATGACCGAGTGGTTAAAGTTCCACACGCTCCACTTTGGCAGCTCGGGTTCACGGGTTCGGATCCCTGCTGCGGACCTGCTCCGCTTGCCAGCCATGCTGTGGCGGTGTCCCATGTACGAAATTGAGGAAGATTGGCACAGATGTTAGCTCAGGGCTAATCTTCCTCAAGCAAAGAAAAGAGGAGGATTGGCAATGAATATTAGCTCAGGGCGAATCCTCCTCAGGAAAAAAAAACGAAAGATCTCAAATCAACAAGCTAACTTTACAACTTAAGGAACCAGAAATAGAAGAAATTAAACCCATAGTTAGTAGAAGGAAGGAGATAATAAAGATTAGAGCAGAGACAAATGAAACAGAGAATTCTATTCTAAATAGTCAAATTATCTCTATTCACAGATGATATGATCTTATATGTGGAAACCCTAAAGAATTCACAAAAATACTGTTAGAACTAATAAATGAATTCAGCAAAGTAGTAGGATGCAAAATCAATACAGTAAAACAGTTGCGTTTCTATACACTAACAATGAATAATCTGAAAAGGAAATTAAGAAAACAATTCCATTTACAATAACATAAATATAATAATAAAATAGGAATTAATTTAACCAAGGAGGTAAAGACTTGTACAATGAAAACTATAAAACATTGCTGAATGAAATTAAAGAAGAGATAAATAAATGGAAACACATCTCATGTTCACGGATTAGAACACTTAAACATTGTTAAAATGTCAATACTATTCAAAGTGATCTACAGATTAAGTGCAATCCCTATCAACATCCCAATGACATTTTTTGCAGAAATAGAAAAACCCATCCTAAAATTCATATGGAATCTCAAGGGACCCCAAATAGCAAAAACAATCTTGAAAAAGAAGAACAAAGCTGGAGGACCCATACCTACTGATTTGAAAACTTACTAGAAGGCTACAGTAATCAAAATAGGGTGCTACCAGCATAAAGACAGACATACAGATCAATGTAATGGAATAGAGAGCCCAGAAATAAACCCTTGCATATACGGTCAAATGATTTTTGACAAGGGCGCTTAGACCATTCAATGGAGGAAAGGACAGTATTTTCAATAAAAGGTGCTGAGAAAACTGGATATCCACATGCAAAAGAATGAAGTTGGACCCTTCCTTACCTAACACCATATACAAAAATCAACTCAAAATGGGTCAAAGAACTAAATGTAAGACCTAAAACTATAAAACTCATAGAAGAAAACATAAGGCAAAAGCTTCACGACGGATTTGGCAATGATTTCTTGGATATGACACCAAAGGCACAGGCAACAAGAGAAAAAATAGACAAGTAGGATTTCATGAAAATTGAAAAATTTTGTGCATCAAAAGACTCTATCAAGAGAGTAAAAAGGCAACCCACAGAATGGGAGAAAATATTTGCAAATCAGATATCTGACAAGGGACTAACATCCAGAATATAGAGAGAACTCCTAAAACTCAACAACAAAAAACCCGAATCAAAAAATGGGCAAAGGACTTGAATAGACATTTCTCCAAAGAAGATATACAAATGGCCAATAAGCACATGAAAAGATGCTCAATAGCACTAGTACTTAGGGAAATGCAAATCACAACTACCATGAAATACTGCCTCACACCCATTAGGATGGCTACTATCAAAAAAACAGAAAAAAATATGTGTTGGTGAGGATTTGGAGAAAATGAAAACTTTATGCACTGTTGGTGGCAATGTACAAAGGTACAGCTACTGTGGAAAACAGTTTGGCAGTTCCTCAAAAAATTAAAAAATAGAACTACCATATGATCCAGCAAACCAACTTCTGAGTATAGACCCAAAAGAATTGAAAGCAGGGTCTCGAAGAGATATTTGTACACCCATGTTCATAGTAGCATTAGTCACAATAGCTAAAATGTAGAAGAGACTAAAGTGTCCATCAATGGATGAATGGATAAGCAAAATGTGGTATATACATACAATGGAATTATTATTCAGCATTAAAAAGGAAGAAATTCTGCAATATGTTATAACATGACGAATCTTGAGGACATTATGCTAAGGGAAATAAGTCAGTCACAAAAAGACAAATACTGTATGATTCTCCTTATGTGAGGTACTTAGAGTAGTCAAAATTAGACACAGAAAGTAGAATGGTGGTTGCCATGGGAGTTACTGTTTAATGGGTACAGAGTTTCAGTTTTACAAGATGAAAAGATTTCTGGAGATGGATGATGGTGATGATAGCACAACATTATGAATGTATTTAATACACTGAACTGTACACTTAAAAATGGTTAAGATGGTAAGTTTTATGTCATATGTATTTTACCACAATACAAAACATTGAAAACAAAGATGTCCGGTAAAGATACAGTACTTTGTATTACGGATGCCCAATCTGTTAAGAGAGAGAAGCATGCGACATGGAGGGAGGACTTGGAAAGGTTCTGAAAGGAGAGCAGCCTTGGTCAGGACTGGGCTTTGAAAGATGGGCAGGGGCCGGCTCCGTGGCTTAGCGGTTAAGTGCGCGCGCTCTGATGCTGGCGGCCCGGGTTCGGATCCCGGGAGCGCCCCGAGGCACCACTTATCCGTCCAACGCGAGGCCGAGTCCCACGTACAGCAACTAGAAGGATGTGAACCTATGACATACAACTATCTACTGGGGCTTTGGGGGGAAAAAACTGAATAAATAAAATCTTTAAAAAAAAAAAAAGAAAGATGGGCAGGAATCAGGATGGCAGAAGGGACTGGCTTCCTGGCACAAGGAAGACAGTGAAGACCTAGGAAAGCCCAGCGCTTGTTCGAGAACAGTGATCTACTGAAGATGCTCTAGTAGCAATGTGAAATCTGGAACAGACTCCACAGCTGTGAATGAAAGCACTTAACCACTGTTTAGAAGGTATTATTTCTGCAATATTTGGCACTGTGGTATCTTTTATGAGTTTACAATTCCATCCCCATCAAGCCCTAATCATTTATTGACAGGAGATTTCTAAAGATATCATCTCAAAACCTTGTTTGTCCATGTTTATGATTGAATATCAGTGTTTAATCTATAACAGAACAGAGTCCTGGGCCTACTGCAGTATCCTAAACATAGTAGTTACTCAAGTGTTCATCTAACAGTTAGAGAAATAGTATAGATTTGGCTTTCTAGGAATCAAATACAATTTAGCTAAATCTTTAAAAGATCTCTCTGATGATATTCTAAAATGTAGGTATACCTGTTTCTTAGATTTGGAACTTACGAATTTTTTTCCCTCATCAAATAAATATCCAATACTACCTTCAAATTAATAAAATTGCATTTATTCTATTCTTTGGTTTCTCCTCTTTAATTATTTAAAAAGGAAATACCCCTGTCAAAAATGCATAACATGAATCTAATCATGAGGAAACAATCAGATAAACCCACATTGAGAGACATTATATAAAACAAATAGCCTGTACTCAAAAATGTCAATGTATGAAAGACAGAGAGCAACTGAGGAATTGTTCCAGATTAAAAGAGACTAAAAAGACATGATTCTGAAATGCAATGAATGATCCTGAATTGGGGGGATTGGAGAGGGATGTACTACAAAGGCCATTTATTGGATAATTGGAAGATTTGAATATGGATGGTTTATTAGACAATAATATTGCATCAATGTTAAATGCCCTGAATGTGATAATTGTATTGTGGTTATGCAAGTGAATGTGCTTGTTCTTAGGAGAAACTTGCTGAAATGGGGTAAAGGATCATATCTATAACTTGCTTTCAAATTAGCTAGCGATAGATAGATACAGAGAGAATATAAAATATGCAAAATATTAGCAGTTGTTGAATCTAGGTGGGAAAGGATAAAAAACTGTTCAGTGTATTATTCCTGTTAAATTTCTGTATGTTTAAAACGTTTTCAAACTACAAAGTTGAAAAAAGGTAAAAACACTAACAAAACTCTATAAAACAACATACTGCATTTGAAATCAACAAAGGCAAAATAAAGGTAACATATAATTATCAAGTAGCACATTAAATTTCAGACTAACAGAGGGATTGAGGAGGAACCAAATGCAATAGATTAGATTTCACCTTAAGAGTCTCACCTTAACTTCTCTGGGATCTTGAGGACATGAGGGTGAACAAGTTTATTTTGGGTCTTTTTGGCCTGGCATTCAGATTGCCATTCAAGAGGAAATCTTAAATACATCAGGAAGAATAAAGGTCCATAAAGAGCTAAATAACTTTGGACACATACACACACAAAAAACCAAAGAGACTTGCCTTACCAGATATTAAGATATGCTACAACCTCAAAATAACAGAGTCTAGTACAGGTGCAGGAACAAATAAATGACCAATAGAACATGACAGAGCTCCAGCTGGGACGCATGTATGTGCAGGAACTTCACATATGATAAAGGGTCACCATATGGCAAAGGGGATAGAACAGACTAAGTTTAGTATGAGAGCACTGTGAACACTGGCTCACTGTGTACCTGACAATAAAGCAGGATCCCTATCTTATATACCAAAGTGGATTCCAAATGCAGTAAAGACTTAAATTGATAGAACTATAAATGCAATTTTAAAAATGTAGGATAATATATTCGTCACCTTGGAGTGGACAAGGATTTCTTGAACAAAAACTAAAAAGCTGAAACAATAAGGAGGAAAACAGATGGCTCTGACTACTCACAATTAAGAATTTCTATTCAATAAAGAAACTATAAACAAAGTTAAAAAGATGAAGAAGAGATTGGAAGATGTGCTGTCCAAAGTTGACATGGGATTTATAGCTAGAATATAAAAAGAATACCTACAAATCAACAAGGAAAAAGGAAACCCAATAGAAAAATGTGCAAAAGATATAAAGACATAATTCTTGGATTGGAGAATCCCAAATAGATAGTGTGCACATCAAGAGATGCTCAAACTTACTAGGAATCAGAGAAATGCAAGTTTACTATCATTAGAATGGCTGACTTCAGAAAGGTGGACAACGCCAAGTATTAAGGAGAATGCAGGATGACAGGAAATCTTGTGCATTGCTGGTAGAGTAATTTTTAACTCCTATTTCATATTCCACATACAATCCTTCAATGAATCTTTTCTATTTCCACCCTTGCCCACACCTCCCCATTGTATGTTCTTCAAACTGTACCTGGAATTGGCCTTTTAAAACATAAGCCAGATCACATTAATCCTTTGCTCAACATGCTCTAGTTACTTCCCATCTCAGAGTAAAACCCAAATTCTCTATATATAGAGTCTCCAGCTGTGGTAGGCAGAATAATGGCCCCCAGAGATACCTACATCCTAATTCCCAGAAGCCGTAAATGTGTTATGTTATATGGCAAAGGGGAATTAAGGTTTCCAATAAAGTGACCATGAGATGGGGAGATTATCTTGGATTAACTGGTGGTTACCAGTGGAATCACAAGAGTCTTTATAAGTGAGAGAAAGGCAGGAGTGTCAGTATTAGAATGATGCAAAGGACTTTACTGGCCATTGCTTGCTTTGAAGATAGAAAGGGACCACAAGCCAAACAAAGCCGGCAGCCTGTAGAAGCCAGAAAGGTAAGAAAATGGATTCTCCCCTAGAGTCTCCAGAAAGAATGCAGCCCTGCTGACATCTTGATTTTAGCCCAGTGAGATCCATTTTGGACTTCTAACTTCCAGAACTGTTAGATAAATTTGTGTTGCTTAAAGCCACCAAGTTTGTGGTAAACTGTTACACCAGCAATAGGAAACTAATACACCAGCTAACCTTCTGTCATCCCCAACTCCCCTCCTACCTCTCTCACTTATTCTGCCCCAGCCCATGACCTCATTGCTGTTCCTCAAGCATATGCAGTGCCAAATCCTCTTCTGCTTCAGGGCCCGTGCACTTATAGTTCCCTCAGCTTGAAGCGATTTTTGAAGTGCAAACCACTTCTGTTGGGGATGATTAGTGACATGGGGCCTGAGATTATGAAGAGCTGGCTGACTTCTGCTGCCCGCCATGAGGGAGTAACAGGGACTAGATTGATCCTTATGCCTCAAGCATCTTAAAAAACAGACAAAATACATGAAACAATGGTTTTTAGATACTGGACAATAGGCAGTGCAGGAGAGTGAGCCCTAAGAGAAAGGAAATACACAAGGTGAACCCAATGAGTGCTCACTGCCTAGAAATTTCAGGCCTTAGCACAAGGACGGTGCTGAGTCCAATCATTTCAATAGAGTGTGGTCAATTCAAGGAGTTGAGAAGATAGAGTTCAGCATTTGGGGAGGCCAAGGTGGCTAGAATTTGTGGAGAGAGGAGACAAGTGAGTGAGAGGAAGTGCTACAGTGATCTGCAGAGGATTTGCCACAATTCTTTGGCTAAATATTGATCAGGGCTTGTGTAAAAAGAAACTATTGAGGCCTGGGAAAGAACCACTAAAAAGGAGAAGGCAGAATAGTCCTTAGAGCTTACACAGGGCCGGGAACAGAGTTCCCACCAGCCAGAGTGGAAAGAACTCCTAATACACGGTCATTGAGTAGAGTCTTCAGAAAGGTATTGGCTCAGTAATGGGGCCAAATTAGCCCTATATAAAGACTATTTTGGACCTAACAGTTTAAAAGCAAGTTTCTAAAGCAGTGCTGTCCAATAGAACTTTCTGCAATGATGAAAATATTCTCTATCTATTGTCCAATATAGTAGCCACTAGTCACATGTGGCTTTTGGAAATTTCAAATGTACATGGTACAAATAAGGAAATGAATTTTAAATTCTATTTAATTTTATTAACATAAATTCAAACAGCCACATGTAGCTAGTGGTTACTATTTTTGACAGGGCAGCTCTAAAGGATCAAACTGTTCCCGAGTAACCTTAGTGCATCTCAGAACAAAGCCTACATATATTTAAAACACACACACACAAAAAAACCCTCCAGCACCCAACAATGTAAAATCTGTAATTCTGGCAGCCAATAAAAATTTGCCCGGCATGAAAACAAGTGGAAAAATATGACCCATAACCAGGAGGAAAAAAAATCAGTTAATAGAAACAAATCCAGGAATGACACAGGTGATAGTATTAGTACACAAGGACCTTAACAGCTATTTAAAATATAGTCCATATTTCCAAGAAGGTAGAACAAAGCATGAGCATGATGAGGTGAGAAATGGAAGATATTAAAAAAAAAACCAAACTTCCAGAGATGAAAAATATTGTAGATGGGATTAACACCACCAAAGGTAAGAAGAGTGAGCTTGAAGACACAGCAATAGAAACTAGCCAATTTTTAAAAAATGAACAGAGCATCAACTAAGCTGTGGGAGAACATCAAGCAGTTTAACATATATGTAATTGGAGTCCCAGATTTTTTTTTGAAGGGACCAGGGAAGCACAGGATAAAATAAAAAGGCAAAATAGAGGTTTTCATAGTGAAGTTTGTGAAATGATGGAGAAACTAAGGGAATAGAAAACCCAGACCTTAGAATTGCACAGGAGTGTCAGTCACAAGGGGGAGAGCAGAGATACTTATAAAACGGTTAGTTGGGGCAAGATGGAGCACTTATCACTCTTTGGGTTTCCATAGAGGGAAGAAAATTTTCACTTCAGTTGGGGGAGGAAGCCAATAGTCCTTGATAGAGAAAGAAAAGAAAATCTTCACACCTGCTTTGGCCTTAAAATGATCTTTTCCCTTTATTCTTTCCAAAGAATCTTCAGTAACATGTAGGTGGTGCTTAAACTGTTCTTATTTTTTCCCGTAAGGGAAGTACCTTCCTACTTCCTATATTAATAATCCTCTCCTTGCCACGTCTTCAACTCCAACTGAGAGTTTTGAAGTTTGTACATTTTCCCTATTTCTTTTCAATAATGCTCGATAGTGAGAACCTTATTTCAAAATAATCTTACTATCTGAAGAGGAAACAAGAGTATACATAATTCTCCCTAAAATAACTTTTGAGAATGGCCTTTGAGAACTCATGTTTCTTTGTAACTTATTTTACCAATTAGGTATAACTATATTTCAGAGGAAATGTACTGCTTGGGACCTCTGACTTCTTTATCTAAGATAACAGAGACACTCAATTTTTTAGTATCTAGCTATACTTATAAAGTATATGATATCTAAAAATAAATGCTATAAAATATGAGAAAATGTAATGGCACAAATAATGAAAAAAATCAGAGCAGATATTCGAAAAACATATTTAAGTGTATGAAGAAGTTTGTTCTAACATAAAATTTGTTTATGCCTGCCAATGATATATTTTGGGGAAAAATGAGTACTCACCTGGCAAAAACAGGAATTGTTAGTCTCCTCAAATGTGAGATTACTTTGAAATGCACAGGCGTATACTTTATCTAGATCATCAGAGGACAGCTATAAAAAAACCTAGTTATCTATTCCATCTGTAGGAAAAGACAGGGAGATAAAGTCACCATTAGAGTTCAGACACTCTTGGGTTAAGAACAGTGGGACAAGTTAAACACACTAAGAAATGTTAAAAAGACAATATTTCTTTTCAACCTGGGCTCCAAAAAATTGGCAGAATAATACAATTCTCATTCTTTTTCACTTAAAAGCTAATTTCTCCACTTTTAGGTAAAATAGTTAATTTTAACATAGTTGGATGGCCAAAAATAATATTATACCTAGTTAAGTTAAATGAGTGTTCCCGGACTGACAGTTCCTAATTGAGAGAAGACAAGCTTAAATGGCATGAAACAGGAAAACAATCGATACAATATTAAATATCAAGTGAGGTTGTATAACCTTTCCTTTTTAAGTTAACTACTACCAGCTTATCTGGAGAGGGGACTGAGAGGACTGGCATGTGGAGAAAGAATACCGGTCAGGAATCTGCGCTTTCATTGCTCGTTCTGCCACTTTGCTATTCAATCCTGACTGGATGGTGCAGGGCTGACCGGGGCCCTGGGTCCGCAGGCTCCCCACCCTGCAGGCTGCCGGCGCTCGCTCCAGCAGGCCGGCTCTCTCCCCAGAGGCTACAGCAGCAGGACCCGACCTGGGAGGCTCCCCGCAAACCCTCCCCTGGCTGCGGCAGGAGAGCGCACCAACCTCCCAGCGCCCAGGAGCAGCTCTGAGGAGTAACGAGTTTACTGAACGTGGGTCCAGAATGGTGCCCGATCCCTGGGAAAAGCGGCACAAAGCCGCGGCAGCGAAGCATCAGGTGTTCCAGAGCCGAGGGAAGGCAGCGAGGGGCCATACACCACTGCGCATGCGCATTCTATCCAGGTGTGGCAGCCACCGGTAGGGAGTAAGAAAAAAGTCATGGAAAACGCGACTGGCGGCTGGTTACTAGGAGACGGGACGCTCGGGTGGGGCGACTGGGCGCTGCGTGGGCGTGCGCCTGCGCGGCGTGGATGGACCAGGACGAGGCCTCTCCACGGCGCCCTGTACGGCAGACAGGTAGACGTACGACTCGCTACGTACGTGGGTGCGCGCGCACGGCTTTTAGTCGCCGCGAGAGGCAGGGTCGAGCCAGGTACGCGTGCGCAGGGGGGACTGGGGGCGCGCAGGACGGAAGCGGAGCGGAGGCGCCGGGGAGGTGGAGGACGAGCCCCCTCAGGTACAGAGCGTGAGGGCGGGGCCGACGGCGGCGCGGGCCGGCGCTAACCGCCCCCGCCTCCTTCCCGCCAGGTCCCGCCTTCCTCCGCCTCCACCGGGGAGGGGTCAGCTCGATTTGGGGGTGGAAGGAAAAGGGAAAGGGGCGGAGGATGATGACGGGGAGGGACCTGGATCCCAGGCTGAGGCCGAGGTCTGGCGGTCGCCGGGATGAGCTCCAGGGAGGACGGCGGGCCGAGAAGTCCAGGGAGGGACCCAGAGCTCCAGGTAGAGGCAGCGGGGCTGCGCCGGGTTGGGGTAAAGCAGCTCCTGGGCCAGAAGGCCTCAGACGGGGCGGCTGCAAGAGGGCGAGCGTGGCGGGGGTTGGGGGCTGTGGGTGACCCCCGAGGTGGGTATTCGCTGCTTGAGCCGCTGTGAGGGGCAGTAGCCGGCAGAGTTGCGGTCCGGAGGAGCCCTCCAGGAGCAAACTTTGCCCCTGTTGTCGTTTCTTGGGAGCTTAGGGTTGATCCCAGTTCCTATGGTGACCGCTTCGCATCCTGCCGCAGCTCTCCGCTTGGTTGTTGGGGGGAGTATTCTGTTTAGAAACGCTCTGGAGTGGAGCTGAGGAATTTGGAAGTCAGAAATTTGGGAGTTCAACCTGGCTCTTCCTGACTCCCCACCTCTCACTTCTAAACATCTTTATAGACTTTGGGAGGTGAAGGGCTGAGATTACATAGGCATTTGCATGAAAATCTCGTATAATTTCAATAGAAATTATACACAAGAAAGGCAGGGCTGGCTTTTATTTGAAAAAAATATTTGAGACTTTAAATAACCAAGCAGCGATCATGGACCTGATACCCAAATACGAATAGAAATACATTTTTTTTTCTTTAAATAAAATCAGAGATCGCGGCTTCAGGAAAAGTTTGCGTAGATGTCAGTGTCCTAGGGTTTTCCTTCTTCCAGTCTAGGCCCTTATATCTCAGGATATTTGTTGTTTTAAATTTCCTCTACTGGTTTTCAGCACTTTTTTTTTTTTTTTACCTGTAAGGAAATAAATGACAATCGGTTTGTAACTAGAAGAAAATCGATTAGTTATGAAATATAAAGGTGTCATGTCGTTCAAATCTGCCTTCAGGGTAAAACTAATTCTCGTTTGGATTTTAACTGATCAGTGAACTAAACCCTTCAGTCTTAATTAGTGGGAAATAACTAGGAAGGTACATTAATGAAATATTTATTTTAAACAATAAGATTTGACCTTGTTTAATAGCAGCTTCCAAAATATTATTGTTTTTGTTTATTATTTTGTTTACCTCCTGAAAAAAAGCACTGCTTATTGCCCAGCATATAATCAGATGTAGAGATTCTCTGGGCTTTCTGTCTTCTTTTGCAGTTGCTTAGATCACCTTGTTTTAGGATAATTTGCTTTTAGAGTACTCCATATACAGAGTCACTTAAAGCAGGTGTTACTATTCATTGCCTTTTCCAGTTACTCACCCCTTCCCCCCAGATGTAGCCACTATTCTGATTCTATGATAGCCACTTCCTTGCTTTTCCTTATAGTTTTGGTATCTTTGTATGTAAGCAAGCACATTCTAGTTTGGCTTGTTTTTGAACTTTATGTAAATGGAATTGTACCACTTATTCCTTTACATTTTGCTTCTTTACTCTATATTATGTTTTTAAGATTTATCCTTGTTGCTTGTTGTTTAGTGTTACATTATAAGAGTATACCACAATTTATCTACTCAACTGTTGGTGGACATTAAGGTTTTTACAGTTTTTTTTTTTTTTTAAAGATTTTATTTATTCAGTTTTTCCCCCCAAAGCCCCAGTAGATAGTTGTATGTCATAGGTTCACATCCTTCTAGTTGCTGTACGTGGGACTCGGCCTCGCGTTGGACAGAGAAGTGGTGCCTCGGGGCGCTCCCGGGATCCGAACCCGGGCCGCCAGCATCAGAGTGCGCGCACTTAACCGCTAAGCCACGGAGCCGGCCCTACAGTTTTTGATAAATAGGAACAACACTGCTGTGAACTTTCTTATACATGTACCCCATGATAATCTTTTGAAGTGAGCTAGTTAGTAAGGTAGTTCTATTTGTCTTAGTTATGCTGTTAACAACAGTCTATATATTACTAAATTCTTTTAGTTCATAAAAGCCTCTTGAAAACAACTCTTTAACCTCTTCTTATAGTTCCAAGAGGTCCTGATAAATGATACTTCTCCAAAGGCCATTGGAGTTTTTGTTTTTTATAATAATTTAATTGAGGTCATATTGGCTTACAACATTGTGTAAATTTCAGGTGTACATAACTATATTTCAGTTTCTGTATAGACTGCATCATGTTCACCACCAACAGTCCAGTTTTTATCTGTCACCATACATGTGTGCCCCTTTACCCCTTTTGCCCTCCCCTAACCCCCTTCTCCTCTGGTAACCACTAATCTGTTTTCCTTATCTATATGTTTGTTTGTTTATCTTCCACATGTGAGTGAAATCATATGGTATTTGTCTTTCTCTGTGTGACTTATTTTGCTTCGCATAATACCCTCAAAGTCCATCCATGTTGTTGCAAATGGCACAATTTTGTCTTTTTTATGGCTGAATAGTAGTCCATTGTATATATATAGCACATCTTTATCCATTCATCCATTGATGGGACTTGGGTTGCTTCCACATCTTGGCTATTGTGAATAATGGTGCAGTGAACATAGGGGTGCATGTATCTTTTGTAATTATTGATTTCATGTTCTTTGGATAAATACCCAGTAGTGGGATAGCTGGATAATATGGTATTTCTAGTTTTAATTTTTTGAGAAATCTCCATACTGTTTTCCATAGTGGCTGCACCAATTTGCATTCCCACTAGCAGTGTATGAGAGTTCCCTTTTCTCCACATCTTCTCTAACACTTATTTCTTGTCTTGTTAATTATAACCATTCTGATGAGCGTGAGGTGATATCTCATTGTAGTTTTGATTTACATTTCCCTAATAATTAGTGATATTGAACATCTTTTCATGTGCCTATTGGCCATCTGTATATCTTCTTTGGAAAAAATGTTCATTTCCTCTGCCCATTTTTTTGATTGGTTTGTTCATTTTTTTGTTGTTGAGTTGTAGGGATTCTTTATATATTTTGGAAATTAACCCCTTATCAGATATATGATTTACAAATATTTTCTCCCAGTTGGTGGGTTGTCTTTTTGTTTTGTTGATGGTATCCTTGGCTTTGCAGTAGCTTTTAGTCTGATGTAGTCCCATTTGTTTATTTTGTCTTTTGTTTCCCTTGCTAAGGCCATTGTTTTATGCTCCTTTAAAAAGACAAGTTATTTCTTTACAGTCTAGTCTGGATTGAGGAGAAGTGAGGAGCTTGGGTTCAGCTGGAATGACTGGAGAGAGTATTTCTTTTTCATAAGAAAGGTTAAACATTGTGGCTTTACTGTTTTGTTTGAAGTGAATTCCCAAATCATTTATTCACTTATTTTTATTATAAATGCAAAAACGTATCGCAAAATTATTCGTAAAATTTTATGTGGTTTTCTACATTCTTCTGTTAGTGAAGCTATTCCTTCCTACTTCAAAGTGTCTATCAGTCTAGACTTTTGGAGACAATTTTGTAAAAAGAAAACAAATCGACCTTTTGTGGAACCAGATTTCAGAATCCCATATAAAGTACTCCAGTATTTTCAATTATTCTATCCAAATATTCAGTAGATGTTTGTTGAGCACGTATTATATGCCTAATATTTTGCTCAACACTAATGATACTTTTTAGCACGTGATTTTACCTCCTATTTCACTAAAAAATTAAAATTTTACCAAGCAAGAACTTCACATTTCTACCCCTTCTAATCTAAATCTTCACCTGACCTTGCTTTTCGTTTCCTTGTCACAGAGGACAGTGCACACCGTTTACCTGGGTTTCCTCTTATTGGCTCAGTGGCCTTTCTTTATTAGTCAACATTAACCCATGTCTTAGGAATCTTCATTGTGTGTATCCTGGAGGGCTTCTTAATCTGGAGTACAAGAACTTTAGGGAGTTCTTGAACCCCCTGAAATTGTTTGTGAGGTTTTGTGTGTATTTGCATTTTCCTGAGGAGAGGACCCAAGGCTTTTGTTTAATTCTGAAAGAGGTCATTGATGTAAAGAGAATTAAGAAACAAGTTTTTCTCCTCTTGTAATGACCCTTCAACAACCTTGGTCTTCTTCCAACTTTAGCTCTACCTCTCTTCTCACAATCCTGCTTCCTAAAAGAAGTCTACATTTTCTATTTTCTTTTCTTTATTACTCATTCATTTATTATTATTCTTCAAACCCCATCCCTACCATTGAAACTACTTTGTTCGAATCATGAAGTTTCATTATTTTGAAAATGTTTTATTCAGTACCAACTTTGTGCTGGGCACTTTTCCGGGCATTAGGAGTATAATAGTGACCAGACAAGAGTCTAGATCTCTTGGAGCTTACAGTCTAGTAGGGGGAGACAGACCATAAACAAGTGAAGAAATACATGATACAATTTCAAATAGTATTAAGTGCAAAAAACCTAGTGAGAGAGTGACTAGGAGAGAGGCTACTTTAGTTAAGAGGTCAAGGAAGACACTCTGACATTTGAGCCAAAGAAGTGAGGGTAAGAAGGAGCCAGCCATATGAAGGGCTGGGGGAGAGTTTTTCTGACATGGAAAGCAAGGTCAGAGGCCTCGAAGTGGAATGTGATTGACACAGTAGAGGAACAGAAAGAAAAGCAATAAAACTAGTGGGTGAACAAAGAAGAAAGTACTAGGTCTATTTAGGGAAGTGAAGGCAGGGGCCAAATCACGTAGGACCTTAAAAAGTTTGGATTTTATTCTGATTGCAATGGGAAGCCATTGGAGTGTTTTTGAGCAGGATCTCATTATTTTAAAGTGGTTGTTTTGATTTCAGTTTGGAAAATAGGCTGTAGGGAGCAAAAGTAGAAGCAGAAAGATCAGTTAGGAAACTGTTGTAATAATCCATATGGGAGATGATGGTAACTTGAACCACGGAGGTGCTAATAAAAATGTAGAGAAGTGGAAGTATTTGGGATATATTTTGGAGGTAGAACCAACAGGGCTTGTTGATGGAATTGATGGGGGTCAGGGAAAGAGGAAACAAAGATGACTGCTCAGTTCTTGACGTTGGGCACTGCACAGATGGTGGTCCCATTTGACGTGGGAAAGACTGGGAAGGAACATAGTGGAGGCAGGGTTGAGAGCAGGAGTGTAAGTGGGGGAATTAAGGGGGCTGTTTCAGACATGTTGAAGTTGCGATGACTCTGGACGTCCAGTAAACACAGTATGATGTGTTAAAGGCTCCAGTAGGGCTATGTTCATAGTTTTTGTGGAACATGGGAAATATATCCTAAATCTTTTTGGGAGAAGTAGAAGTCAGAAATACTTTTTTGTTGTCCTTTTCTCTGTCTTCCCTTAGCATACGTGTGCATTCCTCTGATGTGGCACTAAGCATGCTGTAGTGTAATTTCTGATTTATTTATTCTAGACTTCCCTAGATTCATTGAGGGTTGAAATTGTAGGTTTTTATTTGTTTTCCATCTTTCTATCCCCAGAATCTCATATGGGTTCATCTTTATTTTAGCTGTTTATGAAGTTGTTTGATAATGAATAAATGTGACAGTTACAGTCTGATAGTAGGAACTAAAACAGTGATAGTAATGATGGAAGAAATGTATTTGAGAGAGATTTTAGTGAAAAGATCAGTAGGACTTGATGGCCAATTAGATAAGTTGATTCAGTGAGAGGAATTAGTAATAATAGTAATTGTAAATAATAATAACATACACAGCACTTCTTATTGCCAGGCACTACTCTAGGTGCTTCATATATATTAATTCATTTAATCCTCACAACAACTCTATGAGGCGGGTACTGTTGTCATCTGTATTTTATAGATGAGGAAGCCATGGCCAGGGAAGTAACTTGCCCTTTGTCATGCAGCTAAGAAGCGGCAGAACTAGCATCATGAACATAGGCAGTCTGATGCTAAAGAACAGGCTCTTAACCACTATGCTATGTTGCTTCCAGTTGAGAATGATTGTGATTCTAGCTTGGGTGTTTATGGTAACAATTTGCTGCTTGCAAAGTACTTTTACTTGCATTCTCTAAGATCTGTACGGGAACACAAGTTGCATTCAAAGTTCCATTTAGAGATTATGGGAATGTGGAAGTTATTCACGTGGCCTGAGGAGAGGAAACTGGCAGGCCAGGCATGGGCATTTCAGACACAATGATTTCTCTCCTTTTTTTATTGCTCCAAAGCTAGTGCAGGGAAAGTAGCAACTCTAATATGATTGCTCACGGTTGTCAGGTAGACTCTTCCTACTTTTAATTTCTAGACTAGCCTGATAGGTAATTTATAGAATCCCTACTTGGCTGTTTGGTTTACCAAAGAGAACGAAAGTTCAGTTTTATGTGCTTTAGTACACTGCTTCATTATCAACCTCTACAAATTTTTATTGACACCTTCCTATTATACAAAGAACTCTGCGCAGGTTGGTGGGAATACAGAGAGCTCTAGGACATTGTTTTTTCTTGAGATTTTAATAACTGTGTGAAGAAGACATCCAGAAAAAATAAATATCTACATAAATTCTTCTGTAACCAATATATACAGAAGTCTCAATGAAGAAGTGATCACTATTCAATGGAGAAGACAGAGAAAACCTCCAAGAGAATGTAGAATTCAAGCTGAGCATTAGAAGTGTCTTTAGTTAAATGAGAAAAGGGTGAAGGCAAGGCTGATGTGCAAAAGATAATATGTTTCTGTGTGTATGTATGAAGAATGTATAGAATAGTTTGTCTTTAATAGAGAGATGTGTCAAGTAGGAGATAAGTTTGGAGAAGTGGGAAGGGACAAAATTAGGAAGGACTCTGAATGCTAGGCAGGCTTAGACGTTAGTTGAATAGATCCTTGCTGTTCAAGGTGTAGTCTCTGTACTAGCCAAGTGGGGATCGCTGGGCAGCTTTTTAGAAATGCCGTATTTCAGGCCTACTGTGAGTAAGAATCTGCATTTTAACAAGATTCCCAAGTGACTTGTATGTTCACTGAAATTTGAAAAGTACTGCTATAGTGAGGAGTCATTTGATTGTGTTATTGTAAGTCAAATGTTTATAACTAAGAACACATTTTCAACAGAAACTATATAAGAAATGGTGGTTAGGATTTTGGCCTAACCCATAAAGGCCTAAATGATCCATAATTAGAAATACTGTGTGAGAGCTAATGCTGAAGTTCCAGGTGAGCCAGGAACTGCTGGAATGAAGAAGAGAAAAGCAAATTTGTGTCTTGTTTAGGGAAAGAGGAAAAGGAAAATCTGTCAGACTGCTAAGTGCTGGATTGCACAGAGTGTAACACAAGGTCAGTGACTGGGGGACCCTGATCTTATAGTTTACCAAGAACTAGATTTTGGAGAATAGCAGCTGTGTGGCCAGGAGAGATCTAGGATGCTTGTAGCCAATTCTTTCTTTAACATAATGGCGGCCTTGATTCAGGGAAAGAACAAATTATTTCCCTAAATTACACAATTTCTAAGATACATTGTCAAGTGAAAAAGCACAATGCAGTGTAGTATGTATAGTAAGCTAAAGTGAAGAATCTTTAACATTTGTTATTTTGCATATGTGCAGATATGTATGTAGGAAAAATTCCTAGAAATGGAATTATTTGTACAGAAGCTATGTGCATTTGTAATGTTGCTAGATTTTACACAATTGTTGTCCGCAAATATTGTATCAATTTATGCTTTTACTGGTGATGTATAAGAATATGAAGTTATATACCCAACTTTTTGATCTTTGCCAATGTGGTGGTTAAAAAACGGTATGTCAGTGTTGTTTTAATTTGTATCCTTCTAAATGGTGAGATTGAATATCTTTAAATCTATTTAAAAGGCATTTTTGTGAAATATCCATATTTTTTGCCAATTTTTCTGAGAGTATTTTCTTTTCCTTTTTTATTTATAGGAATTATATATTAGGGAAGTTAGCTCTTTGTGATATGGGTAACAAACCTTTTTGTTAATATACAAAAGCAACAATAAACAGGTAGCTAGTTGACGACTATATTGGACAACACAGGCCGAGAAGTAGACTACTTAATTTGCTGCTGACCCATATTCCTTAGAACTGTAATTATCAAGGGGATAGGTTGGGGTATGTCTTCTTTGAAAAGCATATTCAATATTGTAGTTTTATATTTGGAAAACACACAGAGAAAGTTTTATAACATAAACTTTTAAGAAAGTAAACCTTGATGAAATCTTTTAACTTGTGGGACAATGTTAAAAACAATGGAAAATGTATCTAAGAATGCTGTTAATTTTTAAAGTTTATTGATTGTTGTGAAAAATCACAAAGCTGTCTTTAACTGAATGCCTCTGTATTATTCCCTTTCTTTCCACTAGGTTACCACCAAGGAACATGATTTTGGTCTAGGGGCTCCAGTTTCTGAAGCTGAAAAATACCAGAATACTCTCCAGCTAGAAGAAGAAGTGAGAAATCAAGATAGATTCATCTCTACACTGAAATTACAGGTTTCATTAATTTCTGTATATATTTCCCTGAATTAATTTGGGATGGGTACCTATTTTAAAACAAGAAGATGGAGAATAAATACTAATTCAGTGCTCATTTAAATCTTATGGGTCTAAAATCATTCCATTTTTGTCTGACCATTTTGATACACATGGATTCAGAGTCAGTGAGTGCAGACTGTGTGCCAGGTGTAGTATCAGGTCCTTTCAAGTACGTAGTCTTACTTAATCATCCCAACCTTGTGAAATAATGATGTTATTTCCATTTTACAGACATGGAAGCTTAAGTCCCAAGAGGTTAAAGAATTATATTTGACTAATGAGTGGCAGAGCTAGGATTTCTCTGAACTCCCAAGTTAGCTAGGATTTGAATCCAGTTCTCTGAACTCCAAGTTAGTATTGTTTTTATCCTCCTGGTAACTGACATGTAGTATAGCTATTAATAAAGGCTATTAAAAGAAACTTCCTCTCCTAGGAAGATGGAGTTGACTTACTTTTCCCTATTCCTCCCACTAAGTACAGCTAAAAACCCTGAACATTATGTATAAAACAAACATAAGAGCAGTATGCAAGGTGGGAAGAAAAAGGAGCCCTGGCTAGGGGCCTCAACACACAATGAATGACATGTTAGTGAGTTCCTGGATTTTCTTTTTGCTCCATATGTCCCAGACAGAGTGCTGGAAAACCTGCCACCCAGAAACAACAATGGGTGCAGACAAAAAAGGTCTTAGAAAAGCCCTCCCTCTCTAGCCAAAGGACCAGGAAAGGAGCAGCCTAGCGAGGCAGATGACTTTTAGACAATAATTGCCCGCTCTAAGCAAACACCATGGAAAAAACATAGCCTTGTTCCTGCCAGCAAAGGCTGAGTAAAGAGCCTAGACTTCCACCCTTACTGCTGTAACAAGGAGCCCCAACTGCGCCTCCAGCCCACCCCTTCTCCAAACCCCACATCCCACCAGGGTCGTATCAAAGAATAAGGCTGAGTGGGAAACCAAGACTTTTGTGCCCATCAGGCAGTAAGGAAGTCCCCAACCCCATAGTGTCAGCGATGCCCCCTTTCCTCCTTGCTGGGGTGGTTTCAGAGGAGACCTATCGTAGAGTCAGAACTTTTACCACCCCTCAGCGGTAACATGTCCACCCACCCACAGTGGCAGTGGAGGACACGTGGGAGCGGTAATGAGGCGCCTCTGTTCTTCCTAGCTGTGGTGGTATCAGCAAAGCCCTAGTGGGGAGGCTGAACTCCCAACCCTGCCCAGCAATAACAGGGAGCCCTACCCTCCCCAGGTGACAATGGAGGCCTAGTGGAGAAATTGGACTTCCACCCCCACCTAGCAGTAGCAGACAATGTCCCCCTTTTCTAGCTGGAGCAGTGTCACAGGAAGCCTACTAAAACACAAGAGCCAGAGTCTTAGAATATAAGGTCTCAATTTAAAAAATCACTCTTCATCCCAATCATGAATATCTCAGCTACAATGAGAAAAGATAATCAAGAGACACCAACACTGAGATGAATGAGATATTACAATTATCTGATGAGGATTATCTGACAAGCCATCATATAAATGTTTCAGTAAGCAATTTTGAGCATGCTTGAAACAAACTAAAAAATAGAAAAATCTCAGCAAAGCAACAAAATGTGTAAAGAAGAACCAAATGGAAATTTTGGAAGCAGCCAAGATGTTCTTTAATAGGTGAACGGATAAACAAACTGTGGTACATCCATACAATGGAATATTATTCATTGATAAAAAGAAATGTGTTATCAAGCCACAAAAAGACTTGAAGGAAACTTGAAAGCATTTTGCTAGGTGAAAAAAGCCAATCTGAAAAGGTTACATACTCTGTGATTCCAACTATGTAACCTTCTGGAAAAGGCAAAACATAGAGACATTAGAAAGTTCACAGGTTGCAAGGGATTTGGAGGGAGGAGGAGGGCTGGATAGAGCACAGGAAATTTTTAGGGCAGTGAAATGATTCTGTATGATACAGTAATGATGGATACATGTCATTATACATTTGTCAGAACCCTAGAATCCACATCCAAAGAGTGAAACCTAATGTAAACTGTGGACTTTAGTTAAAGTATCAATATTGCTTCACCAATTGTACCAAATGTACCACACTAATACAAAATGTAAATAAGAGAGGAAACTGTATGTGGGCAGGAGAAGGGGTATGTGGGAAAACTCTCTGTACTTCCTGATCAGTTTTTATGTGTACCTAAAACTGCTCTAAGAAAAATAAATTTAAAAAATGCATGGGAGAAGAAATTTCCAAATCATATATCTGATAAGGGATTAAAATCTAGAATATATAAAGAACTCAACAACAACAAAAAACCCAACGCAAAAATGGGCAAAGGATTTGAATAGACATTTCTCCAAAGAGGATATACAAATAGCCAATAAGCACATGAAAAGATACTCAGCATCATCAACCATTAAGGAAATGCAGCAAAACCACAATGAGATATCACTTCATACCCATTAGGATGACTGTTATCAAAAAAACAAATAACAAGCATTGGTGAGAATGTGGAGAAACTGGAGCCCTTGTGCACTGCTAGTGGGAATGTAAAATGGTGCAGCTGTGCTGGATAAAAGAAGTTCCTCCAAAAGTTAAGTATAGAATTACCATATGATCCAGCTATTCCACTCCTAGGTATATCCCCAAAAGATTAAAAGCAGAGACTCAAACAGATACTTGTACACCAATGTTCATAGCAGCATTATTGACAATAGCCAAAAGGTGGAAACAACGCACATGTCCATCAACAGATGAAGGGATAAATAAAATGTGGTATGTACATAAAATGGAGTATTATTCAGGCTTAGAAAAGGATGAAATTCTGATACAAGGCTACAACATAGATGAGCCTTGAAAGCGTCATGCTAAGTGAAATAAACCAGGCACAGAAGTACAAATATTGTATGATTCCCTGTATATGAGGTACCTAGAATAGGCAGATTCATAGTTATTTAATGAGTCGAGTTTCTGTTTGGGATGATTAAAAAGTTCTGGAAATGGATATGGGATGGTTGCACAACATTGTGAATGTACTTAATGCCACCAAATTGTACACTTAAAAGTGATTAGAATGGTAAATTTTATGATATGTATATTTTAGCACAATAAAAAAAGTTAAAAAAATACGGTAACTGAAGTAAAAAACTCAATGTTCTCAAACAACAGAATGGAAGGGAGAGAGGAATGAATCAGTGACCATGAGAATAGAAAAATAGAAATTACCTAATCTGAACAACAGAGAGAAAATTGGTTGAAAAAATGTGAACAGAGGCTCAGGGACAGGTGGGACTAGGACAAAAGATCTAATATTTGGGTCATCGGAGTCCCAGAAAGAAAGGTAAAAGAGGTGGGGCTGAAAAAGTATTTGAAGAAATAATAGCTACATATTCCTCAAATTTGGCAAAAGATGTGTAAGACAGGTTAAAGAAAGTGAGTGAACACCTACCAGGAGTCTCCCCAAGAAATCCACCCCACAACATTTCATATTCAAAGTTGTAAAAACTAAAGACAAAAAAAAAAAATCCTGAAAGAAACCAGAGGAACAATTGATTACCTATAGGGGAGCACCAATTCAAATGACAGCAGATCTGAAAACATGGAGGTCAGAAGGAAGTGATACAACATTTGTCAAGTGCTAGAAGAAAAGAACTCTCAATTCAGTGTTCTGTATCTGGTGACAGTATCCTTCAGAAATGAAGAGAAAATCAAGACATTCTCAGATAAGGAAAACTGAGAGAATTGGTTGCCGGCAGAGTTACCCTAGAAGAATAGCTAAAGACATGTCTCTAACTAGGAAAGAAACGATACAAGAGGGAATCTTGGAAGAATAGGGAGGCAGAAAGAACAACACACAGAGCGGAAGTGTGGGTAAATGCAATAGAATTTCCTCTCCGAGAGGGCAGTTTTCTAAATTATGTTAAATGTAGTTCTCAATGCATGGAGAAGAAATATTTAAGGCAATTATTTTATTAATAGAGGAGGGTAAAGGGACATAAAGGGGGTAAGATTTCTACACTTCGCTTGAACTGGTAAAATGTAGGCTGTGATAAGTTATGAATATAACATAACACCTAGAGCAACCCCTAAAAAGGTATGCAAAGAGATATACTCAAAAACACTGTAAGTAAATTAAAATGGAATTCTAAAAAATGTTCAAGTAACTCGCAGGAAGGCAGGAAAAACAGCAGAAAACAAAAAAAGTTACACTTGAATCTTAACATGAAAGTAATTACATTCAATACGTACAGTCTAAATACGTCAATTAAAAGACAGAAACTGGCAGAGTGGATTTAAAAAAACCCTATCTTTAGGTTGTCTACAAGAAATATACTTCAAATGTAATAATATAGCTAGGTTGAAAGGCATACAGACCCAAAAGGAAGAAATAAAACTGTCCCTGTTTGCAGATGACATGATCTTATACCTAGAAAATCTCATAAAATCTACATTACAGAGACTAAAAATAATAAATGAGTTCAGCAGGTTCAGAATACAAGACAAACGTATTAATTGTATTTGTGTATGTTAGCAATTAACATGTGAAAATCAAAATTAAAAATGCAATAAATTTACAATTACTTAAATAGAAAATGGAATCCTTAGATGTAAATCTAACAAAATAAATATAACCTTGTATTCTGAAAACTACAAAATGCTAAGTAAGGAAATCAAAGAAGATCTAAACAAATGGAGAGACATATCATGTTCATGGATTGGAAGCCTCAACATAGTAAAGATGTCCGTTGTCTCCAAATCGATATACACGTTTAGTGCAATTCCCAGCAAAAACACTTCTGAAAAAGAGTAATAAAGTGGAAAGAGTCATTCTCCTTGATTTCAAAACTTAGTATATAGTTACAGTAATCAAGACTGTATGGTATTGCTAGAGGGATAGACACATAGATAAATGATGCAGAATAGAGAATCCAGAAATAGCCTTACATAAGTACAACCAAATGATTTTTGACAGAGGTGCAAATGCAGTCTGATGAAGGAAAGATAGTCTTTTCAACAAATGGTGCTGGAGCAATTGGATATCTTTTAGGGAAAAAAATGAGCCTAGACCAAACCTCACACCTTATATAAAAATTAACTCAAAATGGATCATAGATTTAAATGTAAAACTATGAAACTTAGAGGTAACAGGAGAAGATCTTCAAGACCTTGGACTTGGTGAAGAGTTCTTAGACATCACACCAAAAGCAAGATTCATAAAAGAAAAAGTTGATAATTTGGACTTGATCAAAATTTAAGTCTTTTGCTCTGTGAAAGACCCTGTTAATGGGATGAGAAGACAAGCTACAAACCGTGTTTCTGCCAGAAGAATCATATTTAGAACACATGAAGTACTCTCAAAACTCAACAGTGAAAAGCAAACAATCTAATTAGAAAATGAGCAAAAGACATGAAGAGATATTTCACAGAAGGCTATGTGGTTGATAAATAAGCACATAAAAAGATGTTCATCTTTTCTAAACAACAGGGAAATGCAAAGTAAGACTATGATGAGGTAACAATGCACACCTATAAGAACAGCTAAAATAAAAAGTAGTGACAATACCAAATGCTGGCCAGGATGAGGAGAAATTGGATCACTCATACATTCCTAGCGGGAATGGGAAATGGTACAGCCACTCTGAAAAATAGTTTAGTTCTTATAAAACTAAACATACGTTTACCATACAAGCCAGCAATTGCACTCGTGGGCATTTATTCCGAAGAAATGAAAACTTATGTCCACTTAAAAACCTGAATACAGTTTTTCATAGCAGCTTGATTTGTTAAGCCAAAAACTGGAAACAACTAAAGTTTCTCTTAATTGGGGAATGAGTAAGCAAACTGATAATCCATACCATGGAATATTACTCAGCAATAAAAAGGAATGAACTATTGATCCACATAGCAACTTGGATAGATCTCAAGGGCATTGTGCTGAGTGAAAAAGCCAGTGTCAAAGATCACATACTCGGATCTTTATCACGTGATTTTATTTATATAACGTTCTCGAAATGACAAAATTATAGAGATTAATGGTTGCTAAGAGTTAAGAATGGGGAGGGAGGGAGAGGATGGGACTATAAAGCGCCAACAAGAGGGCAATCTTTGTGATGATAGAATCACTCTGTATTTTATTGAAGTGGTAGTTACAGCAATCTACACATGTGATAAAATGGTATAGAACAATATGCACACATTGTACCAATGTTTAATCTCTGGGTTTGATATTATACTATAATTATTTAAGATGTAACTACTGGGGGAAGCTGAGTTAAGAGCACATGAACCTTCTCTGTACTATGTTTGCAACTTCCTGCGACTCTTTAGTTATTTCAAAATAAAGAGTTTTTTTTAAAGAAAGCCTTTTGATTTCCTATTATCTGCCAGAAATTTTACTTGAACTTTTCTGTAACTCTAACTACAATCCTGCAAATTGTAGGTATTCTCTCCATTTAACAGATAAGGCTCAAGAGTCTTCCATTTATTTTTCTGAAGTCAAATGCATCTTTTAGGATCAAGAGAATATGGTATATTACCCAAAGTTAAGCAACTGGTAAAGAACTGCAATGGAATTTGAACCTGTCTGCCTAAGTCCAAAGCGCACGTCCTTTCTATTACTCTAAACTGCCTCTTCTAAAGTACTTGTGCTTGGAATTGAGTAAAAGTAGGGCTTCATGTCAGAGTGTTTGTTTATAATTTGTTTTATTTATTCATTTAACAATAATTTGAGCATTATGTGCTAGATGTATAATAAATGATACAGAAATGAGAGGTATGTTGATAAAGAAATTAGGGACACAATTCCTTAAGTTGCTTAGAATTTAGTGGAAGGAACAGGGAAGTAAACAAATGATTATAATACATCTCATAAAATACTAAGATAATCTATATAAGACTTATATATAAATTTATATAAGAGGCTTTATGGGAGCACAGAGAGGAGAAGCATTTAACTTCTCCTGGTGCAGTGCAGGTTATCAAACATTTTTAGTGTGTTCTTGTTGCTCGGAAATGTGGCACTGTAGAAGCCATGAACAAAGGCAAAAAGACATATAGATAGATGAAGTTTATCTGTTTGGTTATCCCACATCCTATAGTTAAAAAAAAATACAAGTAATGAAAATAGCTTAGATACTAAGAGTAAGGGAAAATAGAGAAACTTAGTGAAAGTATGGGATGAGAATAGCAAACAGACAGGAAAGCATTGTGCAGAGTTTCTGTGTTAGTTGCTAGAGGTGGGCTGCAGATTGGCTTTAAAATTCTGAGAGGTAAAGGCAAAAAGGAAATTTTAGATAAATAATTCATGGTCCACAGGGTAAGGACAAATCAAGTATCCAAAAGAAGTACATGTTTTCCTGAAATTGAGACCTGAGCAAAGTTTTCCCTGAGGCTTCTTATAAAGAGGGTTCTGTGACATAGTATATAATATTTTCAATAACTTCCCTAATATAGGTTTTAAAATGAGGTTAGTGAGATTGTTCCTACAGTGTGTCTGAAGCTTAGGTATATATTGGGGATGGTGGAAGGTTGGGCTGGACAGGTCACTAGGGCTGGGATCACAAATGGCGTTTTCTCATCTTATTCTCAGTGTGATGGAGCATGTAAGTTACAGGAGTTATCTCAAATTTGCATTTTCAAAGATTTTTTAACTGTATATGGGAGAAGGCCAGATGAGAAGAGAGGAGGAGGTATTGTTAAAATTCAAGCCAGTTGTGATAAAAGACTCAACTAAGGAAATAAGTGCATTTACAGTTTCCCTTTTTTGTTTTTTTTTTTTTGTGAGGAAGATCAGCCCTGAGCTAGAGTCCATGCTAATCCTCCTCTTTTTGCTGAGGAAGACCGGCTCTGAGCTAACATCTATTGCCAATCCTCCTCCTTTTTTTTTTTTCTTCCTCAAAGCCCCAGTAGGTAGTTCTATGTCATAGTTGCACATCCTTCTAGTTGTTGTATGTGGGACGTGGCCTCAGCATGGCTGGAGAAGCGGTGCGGCGGTGCGCGCCTGGGCTCCGAACCCGGGCCGCCAGTAGCAGAGCATGCGCACTTAACCGCTAAGCCAGGGGCCAGCCCTCCCTTTTTGTTTTTTTTAAAATTCTTCAAATTTTTTCTTGTTTCCTGGATTTGATAGTTCAAACTCTTTACCTCTAAATCTGAAATTTAGTGTGCCTTACAAAATGCCAAAGGAAGAGTTGGATTAAAATAATGGCTTTTACTGTGCTGCTTGGCTTGTATTTTTTGAATATAATAAATGTTGTAACATATTTAGTTAAATTCATAAAATTATAATTCATGATTTTTAGAATATTTCCTTATATAGTGACAAATTATAGATAAAGTTTATATTTTAAAGAAAACTTTGTGGATTTTGGTGGTTTGGAAAGAGCTATCTCTATAGTTATTTGAAAAGAGCAAGGTCACGGGCCGGCTCCATGGCTTAGCGGTTAAGTGCACGCTCTCCAGTGCTGGCGGCCTGGGTTTGGATCCCAGGCACGCACCGACGCACTGCTTCTCCGTCCATGCTGAGACCACGTCCCACATACAGCAACTAGAAGAATGTTCAGCTATGACATACAACTATCTACTGGGGCTTTGGGGGGAAAAATTAAGTAAATAAATAAAATTATTAAAAAAAAAAAAAGAGCAAGGTCAGGGCAAGGGTAATGTTAGAACTAAGAATAGCATTAGATGAGGGATTTAGTAATTTCAGATGCTCCTTAAGACCAAGACTATTTTTTCTTCTTTTTACATCTTCTACAGGATAGCAACACAGTGCCTTGAATACTGTAGGTGCTCAATAAATGCTTGTTAAATACACAATGAGAGACAATACTATGGAAAAGGACTTTTGTGCCACCATTTTAATGTTCTTTTTTTTTTTTTTTTTCCTGAGGAAGACCAGCTCTGAGCCAACATCCATTGCCAGTCCTCCTCCCTTTTTTTTTTTCCCCCAAAGCCCCCATAGATAGTTGTATGTCATAGTTGCACATCCTTCCAGTTGCTGCACGTGGGACGCGGTCCCAGCATGGCCAGAGAAGTGGTGCGCCGGTGCTCGCTCGGGATCCGAACCCGGGCCGCCAGCAGCGGAGCGCGCGCACTTAGCTGCCAAGCCACGGAGCTGGCCCTGTGCCACCATTTTATCTCATAGATATTTCTGTTATGGCACTTAACATGTTGTATTTGTATTTTCTCAAGTAAACAATAAATTCTCTGAGGGCAGGTATCTAACTTATCTTTGTATCTTTGGAATTTAACATAGTTCCTGACTTGAATACTGTAGGTGCTCAATAAATGTTTGTTAAATACACAATGAGAGACAAATACTATGGAAAAGGACTTTTGTGCCACCATTTTATCTCATAGCTATTTCTGTTATGGCACTTAACATGTTGTATTTGTATTTTCTCAAGTAAACAATAAATTCTCTGAGGGCAGGTATCTAACTTATCTTTGTATCTTTGGAATTTAACATAGTTCCTGACATATAATCATTGTTCAATGGGTCTAATATATTTTTTTTCCTTTAAAGGCATTTGGATACCTTCGTGATAGAAAAGGCCCTTTTCTTCATCCGTTGATGGTTTGATAGTGGGCTGGGAAGGAAAGCTGTGGTCCTCCACATTAGTCAGCAAATACTTGATTGATTTGGTATTTAGCTTAGTCAAGTAAGTTATTGATATGTTCAAAAGGACTTTTCTAAAGAGTTAACATTTTGATAACAATAATTAGAAGTTTAATCCGGAAGAATGCTTAATTGATGATGTTAATTATTAAAATTAAATAATTTTGAGACTGGTTTCTTTTTTACAGATATAAATATTTAGCCATTTTTTCTAATAGTTTGGTTAAAATCAATAGTAATTAATTTTTTATCAAACTGTAAATTGTCTTGAAAGATATAGCTATATACTTTAAATTTTCATTGAATATATTTTTTCAGATAGGTAATACATGGTGCAAAATTCAAAAAATAAAAAAAGATATATAGTTAAGTCTCCTTGCCAGGGAAGCAAACTTCCCTTCCTGATTCCAGTAACCTAGTTGTTCTCCTCAGAGGGAAGCTAAGGAACTGTTTTAATGTGGTTATTTTCTTTCTAATTGTAACAGATTGAAGATCTCAAACAGACAAATCATGGCTTGGAAGAATATGTTAGGAAACTCTTGGATAGTAAGGAGGTGGTAAGCAGTCAAGTAGACGATTTAACCAGCCACAATGAGCATCTTTGTAAAGAATTGATTAAAATTGACCAACTAGCAGAGCAACTGGAAAAAGAGAAAAATTTTGTGGTGGATACTGCCGACAAGGAACTTGAAGAAGCAAAGGTACTAGATTTACCACTGATCAGGATTTTAGTTCTACTTTAAACATCATGTGATTGTTAAATGCAGTGGAAAAAGTGATATTCTCATTTATATCATTTCAAAGTTTTTTAGATTTGATATTATATTTAAATGTCTATTCTAAGGATTAATTATATTGTATCTCACATTTTATTTCTTCTAAAAATTTTTTCTCAAAAAATTTCCTGAGTAATACGTAGTCATGGTAAAAACTTCAAGCAACAGGAGTGTTATGTATATAGAACATTTCTCTCCCTCCCTAATCCTTCTCTCCTCTGCAGACATACCTGTGAAATTTGTCAATCTTGACTGACTTCTGAGTTTTGATTCTTTTTTTTGTGGTTCCTCTCCCCCTTTTAAAAATTTGAATAGACTATTTTTTAGAGCAGGTTTAGATTCACAGCAAAATTAAGCAGAAGGTACGGAGATTTCCCATATACCCCTGCCCAGACACATGCATAGCCTCCCCCATTATCAGCATCCCCCACCAAAGTGGTACATTTGTTAAAATTGATGAACCTACATTGATACATCATTGTCACTCAGAGTCCATAGCTTATATTAGGGTTCACACTTGTGTTTTACATTCTATGGGTTTGGACAAATATACGATGACATGTATCCGTTATGGGATCATACTGCATATTTTCACTGCCCTAAAAGTCTCTGTGCTCTGACTAGTTTTGAATCTTGTTTATGAAGGCCTTCTCACCTCAAGAACTACAAGAATGTTTTCTACACTTTTGCTAGTTTAAAAAATTTTTAAGTTTTAACTCCTCTGGAATTTCTTTTTGTGCTAATATAAGGTAGGGTTGATTAGTCCTTTCTTTAGTCAGTGATTTGAAGTGCCATTTTAACAGATACTAAAGTCTCGTATACACGTGGATATGTTTCTGGACCATTTGGTTTCATTGATTCATTTGCCATTTTCTATGCCACTACCACGTTATTTTAATTACTGTAACCTCATGATATTTTGATAAACATTTTATTTCTTGATTGAGTTTTAGTACTCTGCCATGAAATTTAGAAACTAGGACTTTAAACACAATTATAAAATGAAGACAATTTCATTTCTCATTGCTGCCTAATGGCTTATTAGCAAGACACAGAGCGTATTTGAAAGCCAGGAAACAACCTGTTGAATTTTTAAATGCTAACGTGTGAATGTGCTTATTTGTCTTGATTTTATTAATCACCAAATTAGTAAGTTGTGTTTGTAAAGGTAGTTTTCCAAAGCTAATTGTTGTTACATGTTGTTTCTTAAAAATCTTTTAATGTACTTTTGGTAGCATATAATAAAGCATATTATATGCTACTCTTGGTACTATATGATAAAGCAATTAAATCAATGATCAGATTGAGAACATAGATGGTAGTGAAAGCATTATTACAGTAATTTGAAATATAAGAGCACAGTTAATGAACTCTAGGATCATATGTGTTTGTATGCAGTAACCTCCCTTAGACTGCATAAAGGATAAGTGAGTCTAAATTAGTGAAAAGCCTGAATAATGGAATATTTGAATACCTAAAGTTTATTACTTTAATGTAAGGACACAGTCTTCTCTAACATTGTTGCCTGGAGGATGTCCTTAGGAGAATTATTTGAGGGAGCAGACATGAATGATAGGTTCTTAATTGTCACTTTTTTTATCTTATAATGGTTGCTACCAAAGAATTTGAAGGACATTTAAAAGTAGCTTGAATATTTTAAATATTTCTCAATAAACTCTTTTGTTTGTGTTATTTCTTTCTTTAAGAATAGTTATCCTTCATTTATAGTTTAATGGTAAATTGGGTTGTCTTAATTATAAAAATTATCAAATTAACGTTTTTTTATGTCTTCCTTGTTTTCTTCTTCAAATTAAAAATTAACTGCACCCCTTCCCAGACGGTGGGAAGCCTACTTGGCCAAATTCCTGTGAAGAGAGTACCCAGTTTAGAAGTCATCGATTTTAAACGGTTGTTAGAGTCTATGTTCTAGAGAGAGAGAGAGAGTATTCTGTCAGGGTGAATCTTCTGGTATCAGAAGGGAGAATTTCAGGAATGGAAAACATCTAAAATAAAAGTGCTAGGATTTACCTAAACTTAAAATATTAAATTCATAAATGGAAATTCTGCCTGGCTCAGAAAAGAGTGAAGTAGATATCCATATATAACGTGGAACTTGGGGTGTATTTGAGAGTTGGAAGCTATTCGGGGAAGAGGTTGGCAGCAGTGTTAGAGTAGAGATAGCATTGCTGATGCAGGGAAAACATTGGAAAGTTAATAAAGAGAGGACAGAATGGAACTAGGTCCTTTGGGTTGGTAGAATGCCCTGAAGTGAAATCACCAGCTTCTCTAAGTGACTGTTACAGGTAGAATGGGGATTAGAAAGAAGCATGATCATTGTTGGGGATGTGAAAACCAATGCATGTTGTCATCATCCTTAAGTCGTTGGGTGTGTGGTTTAGTTAATGCAATTACTGGGGAGAGATTCCTTGCCTGATTTGTGGGATGAGGCTTGAGACAAGAGAATTTCTAATTTGAGAGCTGAGAAAGAATGTTTGAGTTCCTATACTGTTTGAGATTATACTCTAGATATGTGGAGGTAGAGTCTGAGGCTAAAGCTACTGTTTGTCTGCAATGGAGATAGTATTAAAATTATTTACTGGGAAGAATTTACTTTTAGTTAGTCATATATTTTTTTTTTAAGATTTTATTTATTTATTTTCCCCCCCTAAAGCCCCAGTAGATAGTTGTATGTCATAGCTGCACATCCTTCTAGTTGCTGTATGTGGGACGCGGACCCAGCATGGCTGGAGAAGCGGTGTGTTGGTGCGCGCCTGGGATCCGAACCCCGGGCCGCCAGCAGTGGAGCGCACGCACTTAACCGCTAAGCCACGGGGCTGGCCCATAGTTAGTCATATTTTTAAAGTTACAGAGTAACTTCTTTCATCATTTTTGAGTATTTACTATTGTGTTATCTATTGCTATGTAACAAATTACTCCTAAACCGTAATGGCTTCAAATGAAACATTGTATTTCAGAGTTTCTGTGAGTTGGGGAATTCAAGTGCAGCTTAGGTGAGTAGTTCTTGTTCCTGGTATTTTAGGAAATTGTAATCAAGATGATAGCTAGGCTGCCATCATGACTGGTACTGGAGACTTTCTTACTCAGGTGGCTGTTGGCTTTTGGCAAGAAGACTCAGTTCCTTGCCGGGTGGACCTCTCCTTAGGGTTGCTTGATATTTTGTTTACGGCATCTGGCTTCCCCCGTGAGCCAGCAATCCAAGAGAGACAGCAAGGAGGAGTCGGCAATGCCTGTTATGACCCAGTCTCAAAAGTTACATACCATCCTTTCCGCCATATCCTATTCGTTAGAAGTGAGTCACTGAGTATAGCCCACACTGAAGGGGAGGGAAATTAAGCTCCATCTTTTGAAGGAAGGAGTATCAGGATTTGTGGACATATTTCAAAACCACCACAACTATATGCCTTCTTTTATCTTCTAATCTTGAGTTATCATTCATGCCTTAAAACAGTTTCCCAGGTAATCAAACATACTTTTTTGGAGTATGAAAAAGCCAAATTGCAATTTTACCATGACTCGTTTCTTCATACAGTTATTTCTAATTAACATAGGGCCATTATTGAACTGGATCCCCGGTAGCCCTTGTCATCATTGTTACCTTTGTATGTGATTCAGTCAATCAAAAATATTTCAAAACCTACCATGTGGAAAACACAGTGTAAAGCCTATTTAAGTTTTCACCCCCCCACCCCCCACTGAAGGAGTAAACACACACATTTACTCCTCCTCTCTCCCCTGCTTTATTTTTCTCTGTAGCACTTTCCTACTACTTTTCCCCTCCCTCGCTCTGCTGCAGCCACACTACCCTCCTAGCTAGTCCTTGGAATTCAGCAGACATTCCTTTGCCTTAGGACCTTTGCTATTGCTGTATCTTCTGCCTGGCATGTTCTTCTCCCAAATTTTTATATTGTTGACTCCCTCCATCTGTTAAGTCTTTGCTCAAAGGTCACTTTTCAATGAGGACTTCCCCATCACCCTATTTAAAATTCCAACCTATTCCTCTGTAAACACCCCCAATATCCTTAACTCTGCCCTTTTTCCCCTAATGTACTATATAATTTATTTGTTAGTTTTATTTTTTGTTGTCTACCCCAGCTGGAATGTAAGGTCCTCAAAGGCTGGGACCTTTGTCTATTTTGTTCACTGTTTTGTCTTAAGTGCCTAGAACAGATGTGAGTGCTCATTATATATTTTTTGAATGACACAATCACTATCTGACATATGTTTTATCTATTATCTTTTGTTTTTCTCTTTTCACCTAGAATGTAAGCTCCGTGAAGGCAGAGATTTTTGTCTATTTTATTCACTGCTATACCCAGCATATAACACAATGTTCAGGCACGTAGTAGGTCCTCATTAAATAATTGTCAAATAAATGAAAGCACTAGGTTAGCATCTTTTATTTGGGCCAGTTATAATTTTGTTTTTCAGAGTGGAATCAGCATTGTTTTTTTGCTTTATAAGAGTAATACATGTTTATTATAAAGATTTCAGTCCATATAGAAGAGTATAATGTGGAAAACAACATCTACCGTAATCACACCTTGCTATACCTAGACATAATCTGTCTTCCTCAGTTTACATATTGCTTATGTTCCATCTGTATCTAAGATATGTGTGTATAAATTTATATTTTACAAGAATGTGTCCTACTAGATAAAATTTTTGGCAGTGTGAGTTTTTATACTTAATTTAGTATGGACACCTTTATACATAATTCAATATAGATCCATTTCTTTTTAGTGTCTACATAGTAGTATAAATTAAAGCATTGAAAATTGTCCAAAACTGCCTACATGCTTATCCAAACTGTACATAAGTTATGTTCCAAACCGTAACACCCCTTAACATTTCATAAACTAAAATATGACTGCCAGAAAAATCTTAGAAAAGAACTTTGGTCTAAAGAACAAATGAGGAGCAATAATTCCAGAAAATTCTTACTGAAAGTGTAGCAGATAAGATCAGGGTATATTTTAGTTTGGAATAATGAGGGGGAGATTTATGAATTGAGAAATAAATTCATTAAACTAATATGCCAGCTTTTATCAAAGAGCTTTACAGCTTTGCATAAAAACATAGTCACTGTCCTCTAGGAACATATGATCTAGTCATATACTAAATATATGACTATAGATAGCTGTACGATAAGGCTGGGTACGTTCCATGTCATAAAATTGGTACAAAAAGTATTTTGTGGGTTGGATTGAACTAAACTATTAAAAGAGTTCAGAGGAGAAAGTAATCACTTCTAACTCAGGTAGTTTGGGAAAACTTCTTTTGTCCCAGTAATTCCTGTATTTCTTCCCTATTACTATCTTCAGAATTATAATTAGTTACCATTTTTTTCCCAGTTCGTGGAGAGTAATTTGGTAAAATATAATCAATATTTTACATAAAATATTGCATAATTTATAGGAACTTCTATATTTCATCCTTTTACCATCAAAGGTAGGTCAACAAAACGGGGTAGATTATCTTTTCTTTCATAAAATATTCACTGTCTGCATGTTTTTATTTGTAAGTGGCTTCTTTTTTTTGATGCTCTTTTTCCAGTTAAATCAGTCTAAACATTTTAAATCTAAATAACCATTTTTCTGGCTTGCTTTTTAGATTGAACTCATTTGCCAGCAAAATAATATAATAGTATTGGAAGATACAATAAAAAGGCTTAGATCTGTAAGTACATTTTTCATAAATATATGTTAAAGAATCATTTTTATTGTTAGTAAGACTACAAAAATTGTATATATATTTTGGCTCTCATGACTTTTGTGAACAAGAAAAAATATTTATTTTCTAATGATGACTGTGAGTAATTCAATCCTCAAAATATAAGTTGCATTTGTCTATATAACATTTGTTCCTCTTGGTAATAAATTTTGTTATTTAACTCGGAGTAATATGTTTCCTTTATCTAACAATGTGAAATGAAAACTATTCTGTTTAGACATTTAAAATATTTGAGGGGCCGGCCCCGTGGCTTAGCAGTTAAGTGCTCGCGCTCCGCTATTGGTGGCCTGGCTTCGGATCCTGGGCGCGCACCGACGCACCGCTTGTCCGGCCATGCTGAGGCCGCCTCCCACATACAGCAGCTAGAAGGATGTGCAACTATGACATACAACTATCTACTGGGACTTTAGGGGAAAAAAAAATAAAAAAATGTTTAAAATAATAAATAAAATATTTGAAATAGCCTGTCTGAAAGTATATCTGTAAAATAAATGTTGTAAAAGAAATGTTTCTAAATATATTAAAGTGGATGGGAATGCACTTGAAAGTGCATACAAATATGGAATATGCAGCATTAACTTAATTTATTCATTGAGTGGACAAAACTTAAGATGTTATGAACAGATGCTTTAATGGTAGCATAAAAGTTTTTCCAAGCAAATTAATTATATTTCTAGCACTTGTATTAAATCTATGGACATTTCTGGCCTCTCTGAAATTTCTTTACCATTTTTTCTTCAAAATTATTGAGTAAATTTAGGGTCTCTTTAAGTTAATGAAGATATAGTACATTCAGAAATGCTGGAAAAGAAAGGTATCTAACTGTTTTTTAAAAAGTATTGATGAATTATTTTTAAAATACCAAATTTACTATTTTTAAGGATCCTATTTGTTTTTGACTTTCCTTTAGAAAATGATGGTATGGTTTAGCTTAAAATAATGGCCTAATTTTTTCCTCCTTGGCAAGATAATTTTAGAGACTGAAAAAGCACAAAATAAATCTCCTTCCAGACTTGACTCCTTTGTCAAGACTTTAGAAGCAGACAGAGATTACTACAAAAGTGAAGCTCAAAACTTGAGAAAGATGATCAGAAGTAGATCTAAAAGTCCAAGACGCCCGTCTCCAACTTCCCGGGTAGGTTTTGGAAACTTGTAAATATTTGGAATTGGTTGCTCAAACACTGACTTTTTATTCTTTGATTTACCTCATCTGGGAATAATTCATTTTGATTTGACATGATTTGCTACATCAAAGAGGTTGGGAGACAGAGGTCTCTTTGATAGCACAGTGGACCGTCAAAATTGGTTCTTTATCCCCGGCATTAGTAGTAATTCAGAGATAATCAGAAAAATGTGGAGCAATTTGGGATGAAACTATTTGAAAGAGGCAAATTTTTAACTCTTTTTTCATCATTTCCTTACATTGTGTAGTCATGCTTGCTTAAGTAGAGGTGGTGTACTTAGTAGCGCCTTTCCGTTAGTACCACATGTCAAAGAAGAATTTCACATTTTTAATATAATAATTGTAGGGTACAAACTGTGATGTAGAACTTCTGAAGCAAACAAGAGACCGTGAAGAACTTAAGTGCATGCTGGAAAAATATGAGCGTCATTTGGCAGAAATTCAGGGTAATGTCAAAGTTCTTACATCTGAGAGAGACAAGACCTTTCTTCTTTATGAACAGGTAAACATATATAAATAACAAAATATCTAAGTAATAACGTTCAATTCTAGCGGTATGTAATTCTTTAAGTTTTATAAGAATGCTTATATCTACCCATCAAATTAATCTAACATTTGGGAATTACATTTATTCTTAAGGTATTCTTAATGAAATGTAATGTATTTCCAATATAATAAGTGTATGTGTACACACACACGTACGTATTATCTCCATATCCAAAAAAGATCATGAAATGCATAGAAATAGTCTGATTTTTGGAATAAGAAATTGGAAAAGTGTTAAATGATAGGGTGTAGTGAGTTCAAGGTAAAAAGATTTGTTTTGGGGGTTAAAAAATACTAACACATCACTTTGATGTACTGTCAGTCACATTAGGAACTGCCTTATAATTTGCTTAGTTTTAGAGTATAAAATCAGTTTGTAGTTGATCTCTATTTTTAGCCTAAAATTATATAATCCTTATTAATCAAATAGCTTCTTTACTCAACAAATATTAAACCCCATACATCGTAAACATAATTTCTTTTAAAAATATCAAATTTTATTAAGAATTACAGCTACTGTGTTCAGGGTTCTGGGCTTGCTGCTCTAAGGGATACAAAAAACGATAAGACGCAGATCCTGTTTTCTATGTTTGCAGTCTAGTTGGAGAGGTAAAGTATTTTGGTTTGTATTTATTTTTTGTTACTTTAGCATAAGTAGTCTAGAAGGTATTGTAAGAAATAAAAGAAATGTGCATTTTTAGTTATGGTGGTCAAGGAAATGTTTGCTAGATGATGTGGAGTTTGAGTCTTGAAGGATGAATGGGGTTTCTGTTATCTTGAAAGGGTAAAAAGGAACATTCCAAACTAAAGGAATGGTGTGAGGCAAAGGATAAAGGCAGGAAAATCAGTAGATAAAATAGATCAGTTCATGACTAGAATAGAAGGTGTCAGTGGAGAAAGGGGGAGCTAAGGCTTGAGAGACTAGATTGACTAGAGCAGGAGTCTATAGGCTTTTTCTGTAAAGGCCAAGATAATAAATATCTTGGGCTTTGCAGGCTGTGTGATCTCTGTCACAGCTATTCAACTCTGTTGTTGTAACGTGAAAACAGCTCTAGACAATGCACAAATAAATGAATTTGGTTGTGTTACAGTAAAACTTTATTTATGCGGGCCAGCCCCGTGGCTTAGCGGTTAAGTGAGCGCGCTCCACTGCTGGCGACCCGGGTTCGGATCCCGGGCGCGCACCGACGCACTGCTTCTCCGGCCATGCTGAGGCCGC